AGGAAAAATTGAATGCAGGAGGAAGAAGTCAAAATTCCCACAGCAGTAACCAACTAACAAAAAGGTACAGTTTCAGGTCACAAACTGTGAAAGGTGCCCAAGAAAAAATATGAGAAGATTCCAGAAGGGCACAGTGCAGATCTTAACCCTTCCCAGTCCCTTAGAAGCAATGATGAGGAGAAGCAAAGAAGCAAATGTCCACAAAGTTCTGAGAATCATTGTTTGGATCTCTTGATTTGCAAAGAGGTCACTGTAGCAGTGAGTCCATAGATTGAGAAAGTTTCCAGAATGCCCCAAGGCTCACAGCTGCAGGAGAGTTTTACCAAGCTCCACATGACTTGGGGTAGGAGTGGTGGGACCTTGAGAGCCCTCTGGGTGGTTCTTGGTAGAAAAATAGCTCATGGCCAGGAGCCCCCTGAGTCTGTGAGCCCCCTACTCCTGTCCTTAGGGATCCCAAGGCGGGGTCGGGGTGGGGGGAGGAGCAAGTGCCTCTATCAGCAAAAACACTGAAAGAGCCGCCTTAGGAAGCAAAAACTACCACACCTGGGACAGCAGTTAGAAGAAATTTCTTCAGGGTCTCTTCTGTTAAATTCAAGTGAAATAAATTGTAATATTTTAAAATAAAATTGCAGGTATCTCTCTTTTTATAATATTGCAAAATTATTTGTATAGTATTTATCTACTTTTTCTCCCCTTCCCTCCAACCCTCCCTCCCTCGCTTAATTCCTTCTTCCTCCCTTCCTTCTCAGATACCTCTCTCTGCATCCACACAGGGTATCTGCAGTGCTATTTACCGAATGTCAGCAGTGGTTATTCTAAATGGAAAAAAACGCCAGCGAGAAGGAACCAGCTCTCTAAGTGAAGGAACTGGCCTGAGGCTGAAAGGGAAGAAGCTATTGGCCTAGGGAGGGAGGGCGGGGCAGGAGGCAGTGCTCTGGAGGCTGCCAAGTTTGCTCTCAAAGTGGGGGTTTCTGAGACAGGAGCAGCAGGGGGTGAGCGAGGTCTTTGTTTCATTCCCGGACAGTTTAAACATGAGAGGAGGGTTTTATCCTTTGAAAAAGAGGGACCTGCCTCCGGCTTAGGTCCTTACAAAGCATCTCATAGTACAGGCCTCTGGGCTACTTTGACAGCCACATGCTGAGAAAAGCCACCTGAACCCCATATCAGGTCAACTGACAGAAACCGCTTTAAAAAATCCTAGGAAAAGTAACTCAGGTTTCTCCATTATCCCAGGAGAAGAGCCTTGCATTGACAGTAGTGGGTGTCACTGTGGATCCTCCTGTACACACTCACTTTAAAGACAGCCGGCGGTGGCCTGTGGAGGGCAGAAGCCGCCACCAAGCTACCGCGGTCTCCGCCCAGGCTCACGTCCTTGAGTCAGTTGCTCTTGGACTTGAGGGTGATCTCATTTTATATGTGGCCTTAAATGTGTATGGATGACCAAGTGAGCCAGCTGTTAGCAGACTGACACCTGACAGGCCCATCCACACCTGTAAAATGTCCATGTTCTCACTCTGGTCACACAGCTGCTCTTTGTTGTGGTCTGCTCTCGGGAGACATGGCAGAGCCTCGTGCAGTTCAGGACGGCTTTAAGTTTAGAATGAGTGTGTGTGCATGTGTGGTTTTGTTTGTGTGTGTGCATGCATGTTTTGTGTGTTTACGTGTTTGCCTGTACACACATTTGTGCATGTGTGTGTGTGTTGTTGTGTGCATGTGCTTTTGCCTGTGTGAGGGTGGCATGGCATGCTCAAGAGATCATACTGGTGTCCATGGATGGCTGGTGACGTCCCCTGACCTCACTGCAGATGTGGCAACAGAGTTGGGGGCTGCTGAGGAGCCCAGGAGGCCTTGGTGACTGGTTGGGGGAGGGGCTGAGGATGAGGGGAGCTGGGATGATGTCCCCTTCACGATCCAGTGGCCTGTGACACCAATCAGTGTGATCTGACTACCAGATGGAAGCAGGTTGGGGGTGAAGAGCCACCAGTGCTGTGGGGTTGAGGCCTCTGAGACACACACATGCAAACGTCCACAGCAATGTTTACAGTCTGGGTGCTAGGGATGAACTCTGGGAACACACACATTTGACAAACAGGCTGTGAAAGATTTTTTTTTTTTTAAGATTTATTTATTTATGCATATAAGAACTGGGGTGTAAGCCAGAGGTGCAGATTCACCAGAGAGAGTGGGGAGCAGAACAGGCAGATCTACTGAAATACACTGCTGAGGGGAGCAGCGGGCGAGGCAGGAGAGGTCTGCTGCACCATGTGGGTTGCTCCCTGGCCAGCCGGGGATTGAACTGGTGCTCCAGAGGCTGCAGATAGCTTGATAGCACTGTTGTTAACCCCTGCACCACCAGGGAGGCCCTGAAAGACATTTTTTTGCTGGAGGGGTAGGAGGAAAATCACAGGAGGTGGGGAGAAGAGTGGCTAGGAAGGAAGTGTCTGCATCAAACGCTGTGGAGGGCACAGATTGAAGCAGGAGCTGTCCTGCCCACCTGGGCCTATGCAGGTGCTCCTCTCGCCAACTCTCTCCCTCTGCAGGGCAGCAGCCTTCCTGCCTGCCTGTGACTTGTACCATGCAGGGGTTTTTCTTTACTGATCTCCCTCAGCGGAGGCAGCTCTCCTCAAGGCCGCCCGCCTGCGATCATGCAGGCCTCTCTCAGCAAACCTGTCCCTTTCGGGCCAGCTCTTCCTGCCCACTTGTGCCTATGCAAGTGTCCTTTACTCTTCTCTCCCTTTTATAATAAACCTGTCCTTTTGGATATAACTAACATCTCTGTGTCTTGGAGAAACTTGCCTGGGAAACCCTGCGTGCCGCTGAAGGGGGAGCTGTGGTGAAAACTTTCCCAGAGTGAACCCTCGGACCCCACTCTCCGAACCCAAAACAACATCATCACCGTGAGTTGGGGAACAAGGCCAGCCTGAGAAGGGTTGGCAGCAGGTTCATAGCTATTAGCAGGGACAGGCCGCTTTGAGGCAAACAAGCCCTGCTTCTCTCTGAGCTGCTACCCTCCACCCCCATTCCCTGCTTGCTTTCCTTTAAAGCCGGCCTGGGGAGGGCTGGAGAGACTCTGTCCATGAATGGCAGTCCCAGAAGACTTGGCCCACTCAGGCTCTCTCCTTTGAATCCCAGGCTGTTCTGTGTGTTAATTAATGAATAGCCCAGGGGGCATTCCCCCCCCCCCCCATTCAGAAGGACCAGCACCATGGAAACGCAGGACTCCTGCAGACTCCTCAGGCAGACGCTGTCTAATGGGCTGCCCCCTGGGCTGGCCCGGGATGGGCTCCCAGGGTGTTAATGGGAAAGTGCTGGCCAAAAGCCCTGAGCTGGCACCCGAGCAAAGAAACTTGAACTTGTGCTTCAACCTCATCAATTCTATTCTGAACCCGAGAGCAGAGCTGAAAAGAACAAGGCACTTGGATTCTGAATTTTTTTTTTAAATATTCCCTGGCTTTTGAGAATGCTCATATTTTAAATCATCTTGGCAAGGATCTGGGGGTAATCCTGTTACCAGTCTTCAAAGAGGTCCACAGGTGCTTTGCAGACCAAACTGGGGGCTACTTTTAACCAGAGAATTCCTAAGGGCACCAAAACCAATGGCAGGAACAGGGAGATTCTGTGTGTGCGCATGTTCATTTACTAGTTATATGTTCATGTTGGTCTCTATCTCCCTGCACTTTTCCTGTTTATGGGGTGGAGATTGGACTTCTCGCCATAATCCTGTCACCAGAGGCTGCCCCTTTCCTAGGCTTGAGCCTCGTGGCACACATGAGGCAGGGTGGTGGGGTGGGTTTGATGCACCACTCTCTCTACTCTCGACTCCTTCAGGCCCTACCAGTCTCTCTACAAAGCGTGGTGTTTTCCAACCAGACACAGAGTGACTGGGACACAGAAACAGGCTCAGGCAAGTGCTGGAACAACAAACAAGTCCTCGCAGGACCTTCAAACACATCCCAGCCAGGATTGAAGGGCCTGGCAAGCAGCAGTGTACACACAAAGCCACAGATGCACCTTATTCTATGCAACAAAATATTGGAAGACCGTACTTACCTAGAAATCAACTTTGTGTTTGATTTTTTTTTAAAGATTTATTTATTTATACAAGCACTGGGTACAGTCAGAAGCGCGGGAGGGTGAGAGAATTCACCAGAGTGGGGAGCAGAGCAGGCAGAAGGACCGAAGTACACTGCTGAGGGGAGCAGCGGGCGGCAGGAGAGGTCTGCACGCCATGTGGGACCCTCCTCCGGTGGCCGGGAGCAGCTGGGGATCGAACAGGCACTGCAGAGGCTGCAGGCAGCTTTGCAACCCAGCGCTCAACCACGGCGCCACTGGGGAGGCCCCTGTGTTTGATTTCTAAATAAATGATTTACTCCATTCCTCAAATAGAATTTGTAGAAATTCTCCCCCTGCCCCAATTTTCATTTCTGCTGCTTGCTTAGAAGGAACATTGAGAAGAGACCCTGGTGCCCATAGATGCATCAGAATTTATGCATGGGGGACCTCCCTTGTGGCACAGGGGTTAAAGACACAGCGCTATAAAGCTACTGCCAGCCACTGCAGCACAAGTTCGATCCCCGGCTGGCCAGGGAGCTGACCCACATGGTGCAGCAGACCTCTCCTGTCTCGCCCGCTGCTCCCCTCAGCAGTGTATTTCAGTAGATCTGCCTGTTCTGCTCCCCACTCTGTCTCTGGTGAATCCTCTCATCCCCCATCCCCACTCCACCCCTCTGGCCTACACCCCAGTTCTTGTATACAGAAATAAATCTTTAAAAAAAATTCCTGCATGGCCAGGAGTTGGCGGTGGGATCCCTTCCCTTCCTCCAGATGGCTCTAAACCCCCAGCCTGTGCTGTCACCAAAGCAAAATGCCAGAAGCTCAGAAAAATAGGGTTTCTGAAGCAGATCAACTGAAGTGTTTGGGCGGCATGAGCTGTGGCATCACGAACACCTGGAGGTAATTAAAGTGACAGATTTATGGGGCAATCAAGACAAATAGTCTGTAAAACAACTTTTATTTACAAAGGCCAATAATGAGTAGCATAGAGTGAAAAGCTATCCCTTCCAAAAGATTCATGTATAAATTATGTATAAAGGTAGAATTATTCTAAGTAAATATGTCAAAGACCAGCCGATCCACTTCTTCCTCTGTGAGCCACCTGGTTTCACTGTTCAACTTCTTGGCATCACTTCTCAGTTTTAAGGATGCTTCCCTGGGGTGTCGACTGCTAACAGACCTTCGAGAACTTGGTGTGTGGGAGCCTGGAGTAGCCGGCCCGGACACATAGCAGGTCAGCAATCTGCTGCTCAGCAGGTCTGGGTCATCTGAGAGCAAACATGGCCTCCAAGGCCAAAGGAGGGTTTTGCATTCGCTTAGACAGGTCATGGTGGCGGTCACACTTCACTCAAACCTTGATGGTTAGCGGGCTTTGCAGAGGTTATTTATTTCCTAAAAAATTAAGCTCTGCTCTGCTGTCTGCATCCTGGACAGATGAGCTAGGCTGGTCTGCTTTTCACTAACGCAACTGGTCTCAGCCAGGGTAAGGGCTTCTGGTCCGTCTGACTAGAGAGTGGCCCTCTTTCCCCTTGTCAGTAGTCAAGGCGTGCTCAGACCATCTGTCTATTCTAGGGTCTCTCAACGCACATGTGAACGAGCCAACAAAACCCTAACGGGTGAAGCGGCTCCGTCCAATCACCAGGCTGTTGCCTGAAGGTAGCCCCGGTCAGCTGAGCACTGCTAAGAGCACCCCACTGGTCAGGAGACCTGGAGGTCACGCGGTCTTGGCAGCCCTCCTCACTGAACCTGCTGCTGGCTCCCACCTTCCAGCCTCAGCCCTGCTTTGGGGTCACCCTGCGCAGAAACCCACAGCAGAGCAGCTCCCTAGTCTGCCCCCAAACATGCACCCCTCCCATGCTCTTTAGCTTTGGCCCCAGTGTCTTCCTACAAGTGTCCAGGCAGCCTGTCTGCCCTGCTCCAGGCCCTCCTGCCAGTAGGGCCCCTCCTGCATTTTCTCCTCAGTTGGCATCTGGTAGATGGGTGTGAACCAAGGGCTGCAGAACATGTCAGCTTCCTGTGCATCCTGCGTGTGCCCCTGGAGCCCACGGGCAGCACTGCTGTGAGGAGAGGGCATTGGCAGCCCGGTGTGGCCCCGTCAGGATGCCACGACTCCCAGCTCTGCACGGAGGGACGCCAGCAGGGTCAGGGTAGAAGGCGTGGTTCTGCCGACACAGCCAAGGTCCAGAGATTCCACTTCTGTTACTGCCGGTTTGTGGTATCTAGGATGGAGAGAAGGAAGCTCTTGTAGAGCCGGATCACCCACACAGCCTCTAACAGCAAATAGCCTGGCTGCTTAGTTCAACGAGGCAGGCAGGTGCTGCAGTGAGCCTCATATGCCACTCAGTCTCCACCCAAAGTACAGACCTGGGCCTTTGGGCACCTACCACCTGTGAAGTCCCTTTCTCCTCTATCCACTTTCCATTTCTAATCTTCCCAGGGGTGTTGTTTTGCCACCTCTTGAGGCCCTGCCCCCAGATCACCCCCACCCAGCTCACCCCACTGCCACTGTCAGCAGCCTGGCTCTGAGAGGACTGTGTGGAGAGATGCCCAGGTGACCTGTCTAGCAGAGCACCATGGAGGCAGCATAAGGAAGGTGGTCCTCCCGGGTCCCAGGCTCCTCACTGCCCTGCCTGTTCCTGTGGCCTTAGAATCCCCAGGCTATGACCTGGGGCCTTGAAAACATGCCTGACCCTGGCATGTCCTCCAAGGAACAAATTCACAGAGTGTAGGAAGGGATCACAAGAGAAGGCTGCATCCAGCAAAGGGCACTGGACAGTCACTGGACATCAGCTGAAGACACACACTTGAGGCACAGCGACTTACTATGGCAGCTTCAAGAATGCTTGCTGCACCCAGTTGTGCAGGCAGACCAAAGGAACATACTTACAGTTTTCAGTGGCATTTTCTTGAGTGGAAAACTCAAGTCCATGGGCTGATCTCAGCTCTGCTGGTTGGCCAGGATCTTACAGGTCATGGTACACAAGATAGCCCTGGACACCATGCAGAGCCAGCCCCAAGCAGGGACATCCTTTTAGTGACCGAGCTTTGTGGGTACCCAGAATCTAGAGTTCCAGAGGCTATTCCTTCCTGAAAGTGGTAAGTAATTTAGACATCCCCCCCTGCCCCCTGCAACCTGGGGAATGTGCCTTTTCTCCCTTAGGTGCTGAATTGGGTACATTAGCCCCATAGACCTTTAGCTCTGGGTCCCCAAAGAATGATGGGACATTGCACCTGGGAACAGCCCCAGTGGGCTGAGCACAGGTAGGGTCTACAGAATGCTCACATCAGCAGCAAGTCAGCCAGTCAGTGAGTCAATGGGGGACAAAAAGAATGAACACAATTGATCTGGCAGACAACAGACCAAGTAAAGAAAAAATTAAACAAGCCAGCCCTCTAGCTGAATTTTTTTCAACACACTGAATAGCACCTAAGTGGGGAATAGGGCCAGCCTGTCCCAGCAATAGGGCCAGGACAACTCAGCGCCCCACAGACCTGGCTCATGCTGGACTTCCCTGAGGTTGGACATCAGAAAGGCTACATACAGAATTGCAGGAGATTAGGGATGGGATGGGGCAAGTTTTGCAGAGCCCATCAGGTTGGTCTTTGGGCCAGCTTTCAAACATCAATCTCTTCTGAGATGTCGTCTCCACCCCAGAGGGGAGTCAGTCCTGACAGGGGTCTGCAGACACAGATGTCAGACGGGATATAGGCTCAGAGGCCCTGGAAGCCCTACCCAAACACAGGTACCTCATTTTTACCCACCAACAAGTGTTAATCTCACTAACAAAGGGCCAGAACTGACTTTCTTAAGGAACCCTGCCAAACAGATGGGGCTTCAGGATGCTGACAAGGTCATGCCTCTTGGACCTGTGGCCTGCAGAGGGAGACCTGGGGACCTCTTAGAGTCATAGTAACTGTGATTGGGGACAGCCATCCCCTGCTGCAGTTTTCAAGAGAAAACTGGATATTGCTTCTGTGATTATATTATAGTTTGGCATTTTTTTAAAGGCCTAAATAACTATCACAAAATTCTACCAGACTTCTTGGGCAGCGCCCCAATGGGTAGGAAAGATGACAGTAGAAAGATCTGTGTGGTGAGGGGGGCAGGAAAGGCCTAAAGAATAAGAATTCATCTTGGGATGTCTTCTCATTTTGCAAGGACTGCATTTTGTTGTGGGGATGAGGGAAAACCTACCGCCCACTGCAGGCCTGTGTCATCTCTTGCTCTTCCAAAAGGTATGGCTCAGCGGGTCTGGCTGGACCTACTAGGTGGAGATGGGAGCAAATCCTGGTGGAGTAGATGTCAACGAGGATGAGGAAGGTGATGAGGTCAGTGCTGGATCCTAACGGAGCAGCTCTTCCCAAGTCAAGGCCAAAGACAGCCAGTCTGTTGCTACAAGAGAATGTGTCTCTGCAGGGCTCCCTGGCTGCCCCCACAATTCCGGGCAGCTGTGTCTGCCTGGAACTGAAACCCCAGGGTGAACTGCAGCTGGAGATGGGCCCCTGACCCTGGCCAGAGAATAAAGGCATTTGGGATTCCTTAAACAAGCAAAACAAAAGAGAAAAACCCATTAAGATGTTCTGGTGGTAAGTATGTACCGTTCTTTTCCTAACAAGATAAATTATTTTTCATTTATAGTTATTATGTCTTCTACAAGTGCTTTGTCCTCTCAGCCCCAACCTCCTCCGCTAGAGCCATCGCCACGGCGGGGCATGTGCAGGGGTCTAGGGCGGGGAGGTGCTTTTCTTCATAGGCAGAGACGGAGCAAAGATAATCTCGTCCGAGTCATCGGAGCTGACATCATCTGTAGGTGGCCCTGAGAGAGAGGACGCCACTGCAAGGAACCAGAGAGAGGGAGGCTGTCACACCGACTGCTTGGGACCTGTTTCTGGGCACCCATCTGGACACGTTTTCACATCAGCCCCAGGTCACACCCACAAACAGTGGGTATACTGCTGTTTTCTTCGAAATTGGTTTTTTTTTTTAACTAGTCTCTGGGGGATGCCATGAGAGCCACTCATGGCAGAGTGCTACTCATTGAACTCTGAGTTGCACCCACATCTGTTTCTAAGCTCAGCACTGAATATTCTGGCCCTTTCCAAAAAGGAATGCACACCTTGGAAAGGTAAAGACCACCAGCGTGAAGGAAGGGTGAGTCTGTGGCAGGAGCTGAGCCGCCCGCACAGCAGCTCCAGGAGTCTGGCCTGCAGTGCAGATGAGGCAGCGGCCCCAGCCTCTCTGTGAGAACAGCTGGCTCCCACGTGGCACACCCCACTGAGGTGAGGCAGGACAAGCCCGACCTCACGAACACTGTGAGCTTCACATGGGTGGGCCATCCTCCCCAGCTACACTTTCTTCATTCACATCTAAACATCCCAGTTTACACTGGAATGAGATGTCGGCAACGAACCCCATGGACTGGGGGCGATGGGTGTTAGGCAGGGCAGGTTATCAGCAGGCTTCACAGCCCCTAAAAAGGGCCTTTCATCTATTATTTCAATAAAATGAAAGTGAAAAAGTGACCAACCACTGATTTGAGATAAAAAGGTGAAGGAAATTAGGGCTGAGCAGTGCTACAGATACTGTAGCTGCATCAGCTTTTTTTCTGTAACTTTCCAGAAAACTAATACAGTCACCCCTTGGTATTTGCTCTGTGAATACCACATCCACAGAGGTTCAACCCCCTTATGTAAAATGGTATAGCATTTGCATATAACCTGTGCACACGCTCCTATGTACTTTAAACCATCTCTAGATTACTTATAACACCTACACAATGTAAATGTAAATACTTGTTTAGATGATAATGACAAGAAAACAGTTTGTGTTCCGTATTGACAAAACCATCAGAGGCCTAACTACATGGTATGGATTTCCCATCGGGGGCTGGATGAATCTGCAGATGCAGAACCGTGGATGAAGGCCCAATTGCATGAAAGTGGAAACTTATGAAATTAAAAACATTAGTTTTCAAGGGTTTTTTTCCTTTAAAAACACTTTCACAATTAGATAAAAGAAGAGCTCCATCTCTACTTTTCACATACTCGTATCCTTGGGTAAATAAAAGCTGAATGCTTGAATGTTCTGTGATAATACTTTTCAGACAGGTGGATGAAGCTGCTGCTTCAAAATTACATACATTTATCAAGAGGAGAAAAGGGCAGCATAAACAAACACTTTAACTTTGATCAAAGAATCTAAAGGTCACTGAATGCAGGGTCTGGTAAAATGGGCATGAAAGGGCTGTTTGGAGAACAACTTAAAGCCTTTTGGGGTGCCCACAAGTTCTAGGATGGCCCCCGGGGCTTCTTGGGCTTTGCATGTTGGCACGGCTCTCCTATAACCCCAGGCTGCTAATCTTTGTTAGTTGAGCTATACAAATGGAGAGAATATCAAAGTTCAAAGTTTGTGAGCTCCGACAAAGCTAGGAAAAAGATTAAAATGTGATTTCTAGGTGCTGCTTATGCAGAATAGTCTCCAAAATCCTGTTCCCAGCAGGCCAGCCCCTGAAAGGAAGCTTGGCAGGCCAAGGGTGCTCAGTCAGAGTGGGCTTGCAGCGAGCTAAAGTCATGGGCTCACAGAGCAAGAGGGTTCGCTGTGGCCCACCATTGGCCTCAACTCACCAGGGCAGGGCTGCAGGGTGGTGGGGCTCCCTGGTCCCCAAGGCCTTGGCACTTCTTCCTCAGTAGCTGGTCCCCCCATGGTCTCCCAGCTGCTCGCTTCACTGTCTTCCTTCCCTGAAGGAACATGCAAACTGGAAGCACCCGCATTGTGTAGAGACAGCGCCAGATGCTGGCTGGAGCCGCCACACCCTCACATCTGTCTACTCTAACACTTTTTCATCAGAAAACCCACTTTCTTTGTAGTTTTTCCTGACATGAAGCATCATCTCTACCTGCACCCTGCTCCTCTCCAATTCCATCTCTGAGACCGCAGAAGCCAGGCTAGGAGGCCAGGACTGGAAGCATGCTGGACCCGACCCACACTCCACCTTCATAAAATCTCAAGACTACATTTCTTGGTCTGATAAGAGATAAAATCTCAAATCAGGATCTTTTGGTCATCTTTAGCGTGATAGCAATAGTCACAACAAGCAAGTGTAGATGAGGTCTTCTAGCTAGAGTATAAGGCTGAAAGAATCGTAGATCATACAATCATAGCTCACATGATAACAGCGGCTCTTAGACTGTCTCACCCAATTCTCCATTTCACACATGAGGATGGCAGGCTGGGACCAGGCCTCACCATTAGGGATTGATTATCCACTAACTATTTTTGTATAAAGTATTACTTAAAACGAATAAATAGGAAAAACTTGGGCCCAAGGGAGCCAAGAGCAAACTCTAGATATGAAAATCACGACACTCCCACTGCAATATCCGTGGGAATACACTGCTGTCCATGATGCCTGACCCCATTCTCTAGTCTCCTGGGCTCAGGGAGTCCCTTCAGGCCATTCCTACAATCCAAGGGACAAAGCTGTGATGAGGGAGACTTGGTTGAGGTGACTTCCGGGCTGAGGGCATCACTGAGTTTGCAGGTGGTCACAGGGAGGAAAGTCCCCCACGTGTCCTTTCACATGTCAAGCTTTGGGGAGAGTAGCAGCTCTTTTGGCTCAAACCTCAGGGGCCAGCTGCCCCTCACACTAGAATTTGAAAGGAAATGAAATTACCAGGAACAGCTGCCGGGCAGGGTGGGGAGGAGGTCCTGTCACGCGCAGCTGACACAGGTCTCTTAGTCGCAGCAGCAGTGCCGGTTCCCTTACTGGCAACACTAGAAGAGAGAAACACTAGCCGTTTCTGACATTACAGAACATCAACACTGTCTGGGCCCTATAGTAGGGCTTGACAGAGCGAACAGCCATTGCTAGCAGAGGCTGGTCCTGAGACTCTCTTTCCTCCCACCTCCTTTTGGTGCCCTGGGTCTGCGTGGAGCCAGTGGCCTCACTTCATTGGACATGCTCACGGCTGTGCAGCTCTCCATCTTCTGGTTGTGGCTGACTGCATCAGGGGTGGATCCCCAGCCTGCACTGAGCCCCTGGTCCCATCTGAGGGAGGTGGGAAGGTGGAGTCTGGGTTATGAGATTCCAGCTCTCCTTTTGCAGAGAGAAACTGCAGATTTAAAAACATGGTGGCTGCAATTTTCTGCCACAAAGCCTGAGAAACAGAGAAATCCATGGCAAAGGGGTGCGAGCCAGCAAGCAGAGTGCTGCTGAGTGGAGATGGAGAGAGGGGAGCCGAGCTTCCCCAAGCAGCAGAGTCCAGGCCTGGCCCGGTCCCAGCCAGCAGCATCCCTGCCTTGTGCCTGATGTTCTCCTAGCCTCACTAGAAGTTCCACTCTTTAGCTGAGTTGACCTAAGTGGGGTTCTGATTTTCTGCAACCAACAAAGTCCCCATGACCGGGGAGGCCTAGCAGGAATGCTGCTGCTCAGAAAGAGTCTGTGTTGCTGGAGGAAGGCTTCTGACAATGCCTACATCTTCTGAACACTGGGTCAGGTCACATTTTTCTCTAAAAAGGGCAATGCATTAGGACAAGCTGACAGTAACTCTACAAACCGGCGGCTACCAGTACATGGTCTCAAACTGGCTACTTGTTTTCTCCCAGTGCAAGGAAATGATTCTAGAGAGGCCTCTTCATGAGGACCAGAACTTGGGGCTCACCCCACCTGCACGGAGAGGTGGGTTTTTTTCACAAGGCATAACTTTTGCTCTGGCCCAGGTGCTGGCTCTCTGGATGGGTGGCCTCTTGCTCAGTGACTGTGTCTGGCGCGTCCCTGTGACACAGAGCAGAGGTGGGCCTGATAATCAGACTTACCTGTGCCTGGTCCGAGCCAGGTGTGCCCGGAGAACAGACTGGATGATGGTAATGGCCTCCTCTTGCTCTGGGTCATCCTCAGCCTGGTCAAGGGGACTTGGCATACGGGGCGAGGGGGTGTTCTGTAGCAAAATGATAGTGGGGAAGAAAACCACTGGAGAACCTCAAGGGCAGTCACCCTCAACCTGAGAACCAGGTAAGAGCACATTCTGTTCCAGGTGACTCACCTCATTACCAATTACGTAGCCAGCAATTTCCTGATTGTGGGTTCTTAATTCTTAGACTCTAGAGATTCTTAATGAACAGCTTGCGCTTTTTATAAAGGAGGGTGCTGCCATGGAAAGCTTCTGTCTTCATTATATTTTTAATCTTATGTCTTAATTGCAGGATTGACATGCTACTTGATGTGTCATAATTGCTAAGTGATTTGGTCCCTGAGGCCTAATCCACCTGGGGAGGGTCCACAGGTGTTGCTGCTTGGCTGCAATGTGCTGTAGGATGGAGAAGGTGACACACCCATAGGGCAGGCAGGACACGAGGCTGGAAGATGCCCCATGCTTCCCTTGGTTGCTTAAGTATGGGAGGAAGAAACGGAGAGGGAATGATGAGAACTCTAGGTCTGTGTCCAGCCCCTGTGAGGTTACCTGGTCAGGAAGGCAGGGCATGCTGGAAGCTTCTGAACCACTTGCTGTGCTTGTCAATAGCCTTGCCCGTGTTAGATGTCCCCTGAAAGCTGCCTGAAGCACAACAGCTGCCTGGCAGGGAAAGAGTAGAGAGAGGAACAGATTTTAATTTCTCTGGAAGATGGCAGGTATAGATCAAGGGAAATTCCAGAGGGAAAAGCTAAAAATTACAGCAGAGAAAATTACTTCCCTTACTACCAACACAATCACAGGGGTATCTGAGAACCTCTCTTTCCCTGACCCAGAATCTCCTACAGCAAGAAACATTCTGACTCTAATCTCTAGGGAGGAAAAGGCAGATGATCCCACAGGAAGCTGAATCTTGGAAAGTAAATGAATCATCTGTTAAATGTTATTAAATTTAGCTGCTAAAGTACTCTGGTTTCTCTTCAGATCATGTAAATTGCCTTTTTAAATTCAGCTGCTAATACCAGTCCATATTTTACACATGGTTATGTTTTCATGTTGGCACAATTGACTTCATGGTGTTTATTCTAATTCATACACTTTCCACATATATGTAAAATCAAGCAGTGGAGCATATGATGACAAAGGAATTATTTATCCTTTGACCTTAATGTTAAAGTACGTGGTGCTCTGTCAGTTCTGAAGCCAATGCTGTGGAATTCGGGGGCAGCATTGTATTTGCATGGCCCATGCTTGGGGAAGCTTGGCTCCCCTCTCTGCATCTCCACTCAGCTCCTTTTTAGAAGGATGACAAGCAAGCACACTGAGCCTTGAGGCGACATTTGTCTAGAGGCCTAGACGCTTCCATAAACAGTCACCGAAAGGAGACATCTTCACTTTTTCTTGAAGGCAAGGTGACGGAACTGTCACAAACATGGGGTTGAGAACAAGTACTACCAAGGCAGGTGAGAGAACGTCAGTCGCTAAGGACACAGAACTCAGAAGGCTCACATCCTGGATGTGGCAAAGCTGCTGCTATAGTGGTTGACATCAACCATAGCAACCAACGCAGGATGAAAAGCAGAGCGAGCCTCTGTCCTGCCCACACTGTGTCCACACTAACAGACTGACCCCACACAACTGTGCACGACTTATCATCTGGGCTCCACTATGAGGAAACTGAGGCTGGGGGGGGGACACCAGAAGAGAAGACACAGAATGGAGGACAGCACACACCAGCTGTCTGGGCTGTAAACATGTTATTTGGTCCTCTGAGGAGTACCAAGTTCATTTATTCACTCATTCATTCTTGGAACTAGGAACACAGCAGCAAAAAAACAGGTGTTTTCTACCCAAAAAGCCGATGTTTTCTACCTCCATGGAGATAATTCTAATGGGAGATAAACAATTAAAAAAAATTAAGGGAGGATAAATGCCATGAAGAAAATAAACCAGCACATAGGCTGGAAAGTGACAGGTAGTATAGAACACTCAGAAAGGGTCTCTGAGCTGGTAATATCTGGATAAGTAAGGGAGAAGGACATGCAAATATCTGGAAAGAGCCTCTCTGCAGCAGGAGCAGCAAGTGAAAGGTCGTGTGGTGGGAATAGCTTGATATTGTCAAGTCATGCCAGAAAATCCCCCAGATGAGTTAAAGAGGAGTATGCAGAGTTGGAAGGGTCTTTAGGGAACAAGTTTGGATTCTGTCCTAAGTGTGAAAAGAATGGTATTAATTAATATTTAAAATTATGTCACCCTGGTGACTGTGTGGACACTAGGCTGCAGAAGGTCAAAAGCAGAAGCAAACGACCAGTGAGGGGTCACGAAAACAGGCAAGGTGGCTGACGTCTGCACTGCCCCAAATTCCACTAGTTCTCTGCTGCTAGTGACTGCCGCCAGCTGCTCTTTCCCATCTTACCCACAGGCTCGTCACACAGCTACCCTTGCCTCTCATAATGAGCCACACTTCCATACATCCAGAGCTTGACTGAGTTCTGCCTCCAAGGTTCTTTCTCTTGCCTCTCAGTCAGGCAGTTCTTAATCATTCTCAAGGCCTAGCAAGAACAGCACCTCTAAGGCACTTTCCTGCTTGCAAGTGGGATGCACCCCAAAGGTGCCACGATGCAGCCTAACTGCACTTTGACCTGCCTTTCTTCATGTCTTTTTGGGGACCCAGGGCCCATCAGGTTGCTTGGCACAAAAGTGATGTCAATGAAAGTGTGCTGGAAGAATGAATGAATTTTGACAGTGCAAACTTATCCAAAGGTTTATGTGGTATAAATGTTGGGGTCTGGTCTGACTTCATGAAAATCAGCACCTAAGATGCCACAGTCACTTCACTCTGAAGGAAAAAGACGTATTTTGAAATTAGTGAAATCAAACTTGCTTACCTCATCCAAAACAGCTTTTTTTTTCTGAAATAAAGAGATAAATTAGAAGTTAACATGAAGATGAATTTTCCCACAGTACTATTTTCACGTCCTGATCTTAGCACCACTAGTCAACAGGGGATGGAAAAGCGGGTAAGTTCCCAGCGACCCCTCACTGACAGCGTCCCTCCACCACCACACCCCAGGAGGCACCTGCTGTGGGGTGAATTCCACAGTGGCTTTATCAGTCAGTCAACAGTAAGATTCCTGAGCGGGAGTCCATGCTGGGGGTATTTCCAGGGTAGGATGGGGGGCTGCACCAGCAGCAGTGTCCCTGTGACCCAGCCTACCACTGCTGTCTAGGATGGAGCAAATGAGCCAACAGTTGCTTTCTGGACAAGCCATTGGCCTTTTCTGGCAATGGGCACCCCACTCATCCTTCCAGCACAGGCTGAAAGGTAAGCCTTCCTGTTTCCTTCCCAGCAGGGTCCCCACTCTCTCCACTGTGCTGGCACCTCTCTGCTCCTCGGCCCACAGAGTCACTTTCAGCTGCGCCCATTCTGTCTCCTACATTGTTCACATGTCCACCACACATATCGTGGAGCTCCACACAGCAAAGGGACCCATAAATGTCAGTCGATTGAATAAACGAACAACAAAATGCCTTCTCTGGTGGGAGGACAACTCTGTGTGCCCATCGTTGGTGAGAGGGCAGGTGCCCTTGGGAAACCTCACCTTGTGTTTGTACACCTTCCAGCGGGTCTGCAGAGTCCTGGCAGCTGCGTCTCTTCTCCCTTCAGAGCAGGAGGAGGGTGGCCGGGAGAAGCCCCCCTCACTTATATCTGGTCCAAAGTCTTGCAGAATGGGGTTTCTGTGGGACTGGAGGGCTTGGGGTTCTTCTTGGATCTGCAAGAAAAGCAAGGTATGGAAGCATGATCATGCCTGCAGCAGCTCAGGTGGCAGGATGTGGCCCCAACACAGGCTGAACGTATCAGATTAGATTTTTTTAAATTCAGAGGGAAAATCTGTAGCCACACTGTTTATCAGTCCATACAGCAGAAGTCTCTGGAGAAACAAGATGAAAGCAAGTAAATATGTTTAAATTCGCTTTTATTAAACTCCCTAAACTGTCTGGGGGCACTCTTCTGGGAGAGGTGAGCTCACCTACTGGGTCCAGAGGCCTCTATTTCAAATGTTGTACATGTTCTCAGCTCAGCAAAATTGGCACATTATTGAAGAGTATTTGCATACCTGGGGTTCTTTTGTGTCTTTTAGTCTGATGCTGTATTACAAAAATAGGAATTTGGAAAAAGTTCAGTAGATTTCTAGCTTAGCTTTTAACGTAGAAAGAACCCATAATTGCTATGGTGACCATTAAAACACTGATGGGTTCAAATTTATTATCTATAGTAACCTCTCAATCAAACATCTGTCAATAAAAATGAAAATACTATTTTTCTCATGTCACCAGTGCAAACTCAGTGGTCTTGCTTGTGTCTCACAGCTGGGGAGAGTCCTCCTGGAGCGACACAAAACTGCCACCAAACTAAACCATGCAGTGATTCTGAGTGCTTAGCTGTCTGGGCCACAACGCCCCGAGCAACTGGCTCTGTCACTGCTATTTCACAAGTGCTCACAGAGTCACTGCCACCAATATTCTGAGTTGGGCATTCAGGTCTGTGACTCCAAGACCGCCCTGTTTCTTGCCCCAGTCCCAACATACTTCCTGACTGGGCTCCGCTAGGCAAGATGAGAATTCTGTTGCCATGTGCTGGTGCCAGTGTGAACAAAAAGGTAAAGTCAGTTACTTAGGAGATAAAGGAACATTTACTCCAAAACTCTTGGCAGAGAGCTGAACAAATTTTACATTTTGATATACATATAAATTCCTTGAAGCAACTGTTAAAAACTGACTCATATCTACTCCAATTAAACTCACAAATTCATCATTCGCATCTGAATGCTGAGAGCCAATTCCCTTATTTAAATTTACTTTTTAAAAAAAAAGAATTATTTATTTATGCATAGAAGAGCTGGGGTACAGGCCAGAGATGCGGGGCAGGGGTGGTGGTGGTAGTGGTGAGAGGATTCACCAGAGACAGAGTGGGGAACAGAACAGGCAGATTGACCAAAGTACACTGCTGAGGGGAGCAGCAGGTGAGAGAGGAGAGTTCTGCTGTGCCATGTGGGTTGCTCCCTGGCTGGCCGGGAATCGAACTCATGCTGCAGTGGCTGCGGATAGCTTCATAAGTTGCATCTTAACCCTTGTGCCACCAGGGAGGCCCTAAATTTACTTTTTTAAAAAAGATTTATTTATTTATGTATCAGAGATGTGTGTGTGTGGGGCGGGGGGCGGGGGGGGGGTAATGAGAGGATTCACCAGAGACAGAGTGGAGAGCGGAACAGGCAGATCTACTTAAATACACTGCTGAGGGGAGCAGCGGGCGAGACAGGAGAGGTCTGCTGTGCCATGTGGGTAGCTCCCTGGCCGGGGATTGAACGCGTGCTGCAGTGGCTGCTGATAGCTTCATGGTGCTGAGACTTAACTCCTTGTGCCATCAGGGAGGCCCCCAATTTCCTTATGTAGAAGCACACATATCTTCCCAATTAATCCCAGTATTCTTTTTCTTTAAAATGAAAATGCTTCTGGGCCTCTCTGGTGGCGCAGCGGTTGAGCACTGGGTTGCACAGCTGCCCGCAGCCTCTGCAGCACCGGTTCAATCCCCGGCTGCTCCCCGGCCACCGGCGGAGGATCCCACATGGTGTGCAGACCTCTCCTGCCGCCCGCTGCTCCCCTCAGCAGTGTACTTCGGTCCTTCTGCCTGCTCTGCTCCCCGCTCTGGCTCTGGTGAATTCTGTCACCCTCCCACCCTTCTGATTGTACCCAGTGCTTGTATAAATAAATAAATAAATAAATCTTTAAAACAAAATAAATAAAATGAAAATGCTTCTCAAGCAAGGGAAAACAAACAAACACCCAGAGATAATACATACTTAGAAACTTCTGGACAAGGCTAAAAGAAAGTAAAACTCCTACCCTGCTGCAACAGTCACACTTTGGTCATCTTCCCAGACATTTTTCTACATATAAGTTTTTTAGAGGATCACGACTGTGCACCGTTCTAGGGGAGAAGAATGCGTTTCCATCAATGACAGGTCACAGGCCCCTTTCCATGTCAGTGACTGCATATCTGTTTTACCCTTCCAATGGCTGGGGAATGTCCCACTGCTCACTAATAGGCCTCCCATCTGGCTCTGTGGTCTCCACTGCAGCAGATGTCCCTGTACTGAGAGCCTTGCACAGAGGTCAGGATCCCTTCCCCAGCTCACCCTGAACAGCGGGAAATCTGGGATACTCGATTTGTTCCTGTCGTTTATAGGGCCACTACGTCTCAAAGTCATATAATAAGGTGCCAAAATATTGATAAACACTTGAGTGTAATTTTGACACCAAGCAAATCTAAGGGCTATCAGGAGAAATGGGGAGGTTGAAAAAGGATGTAATTCTTAAGGAAAACCTTTATGAGGAATCTCCCCGCGGGCCACTCTGCCTGCACTAAGGTAGTGGAGGATTTCAATGTGATTTCTGAAATTAACAGAAAGAGGCAAACCCAGTGGTGAAGGCGCTCAAAGAAAGAGAGGATGCCTCATGTTGGGGAGGGTCCTTTCCTGATGATCAATGTCCACACTGGGGTCATTTTTTCTTCTGAAGTTGTGGGTTACTAATGCACAGGGAGAGAACATCGAGAAACTGACCTGTTCTATGTTTACAAAGCAGCAGGTTGGTTCCCTCCAGAGCCTTTTCAAACTCCTTTCCACCTTCTAATGAACCATCATCCCATGTGGGATAATTCAACTTTCTGCATATTTGAAATTTTGGGAAGATGTGTGTTCACCAGTTTAAAGATCCAAAACTGGAATACTAGTTTAAGAAGCCACTTAACTGACAATCAATTACTGTAGTCCAGAACTCCAGACGTCATGCAATTTTACAGAATCGATGCTGATGAAGAAAGGAAATCAGATTAAGGACATTTTTTCTGGATTGTCAGGAGTTGGTGTGGAAACAACCAGAACAGCGCATATCACCTGCAAGACCTGCCGGCCCACTAAGACCAAAAAAAGCTAAACCATACCTCAGGAGTCCACTCCACGGGACCCTCTTTCTCATCTGTCTTGGTTTCTTCCAATTCTTGTAATTTCTTGGTGAGTATTCGAATTTCCTCTCTGAAGTGGGAAGGGGAGAGAAGCCACCTGACTTGTCAGCACACAGATGAGGACTTATGACAAGAGGGATGGCTGCCTACAGAGCTGCGAGGCCACCCCTGGGAGCAACATGGGCACCTGCGCCACGACCATATACCCGAGCACCCCCACTGTCTGTCATCTCCCTTCAGGAGACCCCTTGGGCTTGGACTGAGGGGTCCCAGGGCCTAGCACCAGTCCGGGCAAATGGTGAGAACTGAAAAGATACTGTATGGACGATGAGTAGGTGTCATTTGGGACTTTTATAAACAATGTGAATTGTTTCTTCACAACTTGTGTCCTATAGATTTTAAAGACAAAGTAAAAATAATTCTACATTGTACATATGTTGTTTCTGATTTACTTTAATTTTAGCTTTCTAATAAAAATGTAGCCACATTTCTCCTGAAAATATTTTCTATTCATTCTAGTAATCTGTATCTTACTAATTAATGTCAGTGCTTAATATTTCTGCTCAGATTTTTCATCTACTTTTTGGAGGCAATTTTTATTGACACAAAGTTCATTGACATGAAACTCACCAAATTAAACAATTAAGTGGTTTTCAGTATATTTACAATGTTATGTAACCATCACCACCATCTAATCTTAGAACATTTCCATCCCCCATTTCAAAAAGGAACCCTGCCAACAGTTACTCCCCATCTCCTCAACCAGTGCTCTATTTTCTGTCTCTATGGAGTTGCCTATTCCAGACATTTCAAACAAATGCAAGTGTACACATGCGGCCTTTTCTCTCTGCAGCCCTAAGTGAGTACCAAGTTCTTGAGGTACATCCTGTTGTAACATGTATCAGAATTCTATGCCTCTGTAAATCGTGTGCCAGGAGGGATGGCTGCCTGCAGACCACTATGTATGAATATATGTGCTGAAGGGTATTTGGGTTGCTTCTGCTTTTGGCTATGTGGACAATAAAGGTATGAGGATCATGGGAGGCACCTGTCTCAGGGGGCAGCTGACACCTGGGTTGTGCTGACCAGAGATGTGGAACTGTGGCACATTCTGGAACTGCCAAGAGGTGCAGGGAGAGGCAGCCATGAGGCCAAAGAGGCAAACACTAACCTAACCAAGAAGAGCCTTGACCTAAAATTTGGATATCTGCTTGAAGGAAACAGAAAATCACTGGCTACTTCAGAAAGAGTGACTTAATCAAGCTGAAGTTTAAAAAAAAACTACTCTTGACACTGTGCTGAGAATAGATTGGGGGCTGCAGGGGGAAGTGAACAGCTTGGAACTGTGTGTATTTGCTCTGAAAACCATGAGCTCTGGTTCACTTACCTCAAAGCTTCCTCTCTCTCTCTCCTTTCCTTCTCACCTTCCTTCACACTTTCCAGCTCCTTCTGCAAATCAGCCTTTGTCTGTAGTAGCTGCTTTACCTCTAAACTGAACACACAGAACCAGAGACATTTCAGCATTCATCAAAACACAAAGGATCACAGTTACACCCATCATCAGAGCAGGAGGAGCTTTCAGAAAATAACCTTGTCCGCCTTCCCACGTATGGCTGCTGCTGATAGCAGCAGACAGTGAAGAAAGGCACTTGTTCATAACTATGCAGAACCAGGAACAGACCCCAAGACCTGATGTCCTGCTAGTCTTCCATCAGATATTTACGGAGCACCTACTGTGTGCCAGCACCTGTTAGGCCTAGGGGACACCATGCTGAGTAAAATCTGACTAGGGCCTGCTTTCACAGCCCTCACAGTCTCACAGTGCTTGTCACACAGTTAGGTACCTTTCACATCCAGTACTCATATTCTGAAGGCCCTGCCGTGGACTAGACTTGGTGCTGCCTGAGCAGAGCCTGAGGATGGGGGTGTGAACCCGCGCGCCTTCCAACATGACTGCTTCCTCTGAGCTGTCCTATATCCCACAGGGGGACTGGTAGCTAAGACTGTGACTTCCAAAGAGACCTGCTTACTCTCAGTAAGTTCCACTGGCTGCTCTCCTGGTGACCTAACTGGTCAAGGTCCTGTTAATCTCCACATGAACGTGCTAAAACACCATGTGCATTAAGAGATGCGCCAGCCACCTAGTAAGAGCTCAATAAGTGAAAGCTATTATTGTGCCATGTGATTGCTTACAAGACAAACACAGACACATTTACTTTCAATATGACTAGTGCAATTTTTAAATCTATGAAATATCTTTTTTTTTTTTTTTGTGGGACGGCGGCAGGGAATGAACCAGCGCTGCAGAGGCTGCGGGCAGCCTCGCAGCCCAGCGTTCAACCACTGCGCCACCAGGGGAGGCCCTGAAATATCAATTTTTATAAACAACATATTCATTCAAATAGATGCAGCTTTAGACTTTGATTGGAAGTAACAGGTCAGGTGAGGTGTGAAGGCATTTGCCTTCTGCTATAAACAGAAGGCAGCAGAGAACTTGCTAGGCCAGGAGTTGATTAGTGGGTCCTTCTCAGACCAAAATGTGCCCATGGGGATCTCGTTAGGGCAGAGTTGGATTCAAGAAGTCTGGGGCCCGCCAAGGTGCTGCTCCTCTAATCACCTGGGGGCAGGGGCTACTGGCTTTCCAGGACACACTCTGAGTAGAAAGGCCTAACACATAAACACCATCCCAGAAGACATATGGGCTGTGCGCGCTCATGCAGAACTGTGACTAGAAGCCACCATAAACAGGAGACAGGCCACATTTAAGTGGGTCACAGATTAAGACATTAAGAATGAACAATGAACAAGCAAAACTTTGAGACTTGGCCTTTCAATTCACAGTATCTATGAATTGATATAAAATTGATATAAAGTTGATATAAAGTTGATATAAAGATCAGATATCGTAAAATACTACTATTTTAATTATTCCACATAAGATCTAATTGATGACCTAGCTATTTTATGCAAATCAATGAAAGCAAATGCTTCACTAAAAAAGAATTTAAATATCTCTTTGGAATTCAGTGTAAAGAAAAATGGTATGTCTCCCCTTAGTGATATAATCTAGCTGACTAATATCTTCTTTTTAACACTAACATTGCCTTTATTTCCCAACCAAAATAAAAATTTTGGAATCCTACAAAAATTATGCAGTAACTACTATGAGCTGATCATCTGACCAAAGCACAAGAACAGTGCAGGGACAACGCACTCTTTCTCCAGCAGCTGGGTCTGCAGGGCGCTCCGCTCGCCTCTCAGGCTCTTCACTGCCCCCCGGAGGCGCTCGGTGTCCTCCTGGCGGTCGGGATGCGGCTGCTTGGGCACAGTGGAGCATGAGGCAGAGTGAGCCAGCACGTTGGACTTGACCCCTTCTGAGTGTGACTTGGGGCTTTCCATCGAGCTGATTTTCTGGAGACCACACAGATATTTGTTAGATGTTATTTGTCATCTTCACTTTTCATTGATGAAACCCAGAAAAGAGACAGTGGCTCAAGGGCAACTCCCCTCCAGCAAGGCAAGAGCTCTGCTCTGACCTGACAGGGGACAATCCTACCCCTCCAGAATCCTGTGGGCAGAGGGCCCTCCTGTACTCAGAGCAGACTCAGACCTGGGGTGGGGATGGGGGTTGGGGGTGAGGGGAGCCCCAGTGAAATAGAAGCAATCAGTAAAATAGAACAAAGGGCACAGGGAAGGTGAATTCCTAACTACTTTTATTTGTTCCTTTACCCTATTATTTCCCTAGAATTTCTGAACATTCCCACTTCTGCTTTCAATCTGAAATGCTAACCCAGTCTGCTAACTAAATGATCCTGAGCACCTGCAGATGTCCACTGCCCTCACTACCTCTCAGCCTAGATAATTCTACCAACTGGAATCCTGAGCCATCTTGGATGACTTTCTCCCCGTATAAGCTTTATATTTTAAAATACCCATAATTTACCAACATGTAAGTTTTCTTCTTTGTAAATATGTTAAATTATTATTTTTTAAATGTTCTGTTCTTCTTTACTCTGCTCAGTCAAACAATGAGACAGCTCTAATTTAATATATTACCAGGTTATGCTAAGGGCATTGACACTGCTGATCAATGGCAACAGAATCAGATTGATTACCAGTTTGCAAATTTACACAGAAGCTATGCCAATTTCCAAATTTTCTGGTTGGCAAAATATGAATGAACAGTTTTCTATGAATTCAAATATTATATAAGCAGAGAAGCAAACAGTGGTAGTGATGAGTAGTAAAGGGCCCTGCGCGACCATCTGGAACACGAGGATGGGACTGACGTGCCCGAGGTCCTGCCTCACCTGCATGCTGCCTGGTAGATAGTGCTGTGCATGTGCTCAATCCAAACCCGTTTCACTTTAAGCAAAGCTCGGTGCCTGTGCTCCCCACTCTGAGAGCCCTGCCACCCCTTCACATGGGCTAGTGTGGAGTGGCGGGGAGACACGAGGTGGTGCACTCACTTTTTCCAGCTCTGCAATCCGTCTGAGCAACCGGGGCTTGCTCCACTCCACATAACCTGATGGAAGCAATGGGCTGATAAAGACACACTTCATACAACCATCCCTCTGGGCCCTTCAGCCTGGACCCCCATCTCAGAAATGGACCAATAGTGCCCCCAGGTCAGCACAGTGTGTGCAGCCATCAGTAGAGCTGGGACTCTTGCAGTCCAAAGGACGTCTGGACAGTGAAGATCCCTGGCCCCTCTGTCAAATCCCTCAGTGTCTCAGAGTGACATTCTTTCTTGATTCTACCCTGGTCAGACTTGGCTGCTCCAGCATGTTATGATCATCCCAAGGTCACCAAGAATCTCACTCTGCCAATCCAGCTCAATCATGTGCTGCCCCTCCCAGCCCCCACACATCCACTTGTCCCTTCCTTCCGTCACCTGGCCTTCGGGGCATCTCAGGCCGCTGGCCTCACTCCCCATGAGCTCTGCTGACTTGCACATGACCTACCTCTGAGCACCATCTTCTCAGGCCAACCTGGACGTTCCCTTGCCTGCTTATCCACTTGGTGATGGGAGGCACACCTTGCTCATCAGGTCACTGACGACTAAAGGTGAGTCCCCTGTCCAAAGACTCTGCCTGAGCTTGTTGACACATCTTCTCCAAGGGAACCTGTTATACCCAGCAGATCTGACAAGTCCCTCTCCCACACCTGCTCCTCTTCTGTCTACTCCACTGCTGGATGCTCAGATAAAAGGCCTTAAGCCTGACTCTCCTCCTCTGGCAAGTCATACTTTCTCCCAAAGGCAGGGTGCCGGCCTGGTCCAGGCTACCAGCAACCCTCTTTTAGCACTCCAGGCCCCTTTTCTACACAAGGTCTTAGCATAGAATCCAAGAAGCTTCATGAAAAACACTGTTCCCTTCTGCTCAAATCCTGCCCCGGACTGGTTGGCAAGGCCCTCACCCCATCTGGCCCCTGCTGCTTCTGTCTTCGTCACTATGACTCGCCCACGGCCGCCCATGCTGGGCACACTGGATATCGACCGGCTGTCACTCACCACTCTCAGCTCTGTACTGTCACCACTGGTGGGCGTTCCTTGCTGCCTCTACTCATAGGTGTGCTGCCCCTCCACCTCTGCTACTCTACTTCCTTCACCTCCCTCCCTCCATCTATGTCGGATCTGCTGGTCTCTTCTCCTTCCCTGCTGCCATGTCCCTCTAGGGGACATCTAGAAGACACCTGCATGCTTAGTCCATTGCTCTACCTCCACCTCCTGTAACAGTGCTTGGCACACAGCTGGTGCTCATGATTTGGACTAAGTTTCCAAGTAGTGCTGCTCTGTGGGGTGTGTCTGCAAACGAAAGAGGATCTTCGTGGATGCGCAGGAAAACTACCTTTCCCCCAGCAGTCACCCCATGTCTGCCCTCAAGGAATGAAAGTCCCAGCCTCTCTGCTCAAGTTCCCTCCCCTGGGGTGGCTCCCCTCTTCCTGGGCATCTCTCTGGGAGTCACCTTTCATTTTGGAGCAGGTGGGAGAGTTGCTCAGCATGCGGTCCAGGTCCTCCTTTAGGCTCTGGTTCTCCTCTGTGAGCTCCTGCACACTCCTGGACAGGCTTAACAGGGCACTGCTCACTTTTTTCTGCCTTTTGGGGCCTGTTTTCTTCTCTCCTGGAGGCCTAGGAACAAACAAACCATGTGGCTAAGAAGTGGGTTTCTAAGCCAGTTTAATAAGCATCCAGACGAGGGGAGGCACATGACGGCCCTGGCCGGTGTGCTCAGAGGGCTTTCGCAGATGAATACTTGCAATTGAATGGGAATATTAACTCTGAACCCCAAGTAGGCAAGCTGCCACCCCCAAAAAACAGAATTCAATCTTTCTCACTAGTAAAGATACGTAACAAAGTATTCAATTATTAGCAATATATTTTAAAGTGTAGCACTAGGAAATTTGTGAATTTGTTTTCTCCTGTTACATCACTATCTGTAGTAGTCTGGTTGTGCCTCTTATCCCATAAAGTCTAAAATGCAGCCAGTTCTCATCGTTCACAGATTCTATATTTGTGGATTTGCCTACTGCTTAACATTTACCTGTAGCCCCAAGTGAACACTGTGGTACTTTCAGGGTCACTCACAATCATGGGCCAAGTATGGAGAAGTTCGAGTGGACTGGCTCATCCATCAAGGTGCCCCTGCCTCCTGCTTCAGGCTCACTGTCAACAAGCATCATTTTCGTGGCTATTGAGTGAAAGCTTTTCATGTTTGTGCTTTTTCTTCATGCTTTCACTATTTAAAATGCCCCCAGCCATAGTGCTGAAGAGCTGCCTGGTGTCCTAATCGTGAGAAGGCTGTTGGGTGAGCTTTACTCCAGCCTGAGTTAGTGCTGTGGCCCAGGAGTTTAGGGCTAATAAATCAACAGCTTTTGTGATATAAGGCATCTTCAAATAGAAACACACATAAAAACAGGTTCATATCGGCTGGCTGATGAAAACATGTGACCAGATGCCCTCAGGAACCAGCCCCGGTTTCCCCTGGGAGCAGTGGTTCAGTGTTGGTGGAGACTTTATAGAACATTCTACAGCAGGTAATAAGAATTGACTGTTACTTACTCTCTGGCCCTTGACAGGAAAAGTTTCCAAGCTCCATTTTAAACTTCGGGGTGGGGGGTGGGAGGTGGGAGGAAGGGGTAAAGGAAAGACCATGCCTGGCACAGTGTAAATGTTTGTTTCCGGCAGATGCCAGGGATATGAGCAAATCCATGAGGAGGGATCACTCCTTCCAAAGTGTTTTGAAAGGCAGGCATCATCTGAAAAATCTATAAGGTGAGGAAACCTTGATGTCTCGCCTAGTAACCTCATCTGGCAAAATGAACTTGTACTTGGTATTAAGTGTCTCCCTAAAAGGAAGATCTACTCAGAAAAACAGGGCTTTCTCGCTCTGAGCTGGCAGCCGTGAGGAAGTATGAACGACTAACGCAGGGTGTGCTGACTCTGAGCTTGGCAGTAGGCAGCGGCAGCGCTGAAGGCACAGCTGTAAACACCCCAGTGGAGACAGACAACCTGAACCAACAGCTAACAGGGAGAGGTACTGGCACTGTCCCAAAGGACACTCATGGAGTTCCATGAAATGACTAGAAACCCTACTTTAGGGCAGTCTAACATAAAGATAACACATGAAACATGGCCCCCAAAGAGAGGATCATACTTCTTTCCCGTCGTTTCAGAACTTGCCAAGAGAGTCTGGAGACGGTGAATCTGTAAAGACCAAATTTAAATACATTAAAATACAAAATGAGCATGAAGAGCCACCTCTGAAAAAACTGTTCAGATCCCCGATCTCTGCCCGGCAGCAGGAGATGAGCACTAAGGGATATGTGATCAGCTGAAGAGACGAGAGCAGGCCCAGCACTGCAGCAGGCAGCCACCCAGTTCTGCAGCAGACTCCTGGCTGCACTTCCCACCCCTTACCCCGCCCTGGTCAGAAGGGCACACACCTCCTCGTAATAGGTCTCCATGGCAATCCTCATCTCTTCCAGGTTAGTGGTCTTCATGTCAGTCTGCAATTTGCTAAAACCCAAGTGCAGAGTTAGCATGGCAGCACCAGCATTTCCGGGCCAGAGCAAGAGGAAGATGAAGTGTTTTCCAGAACACTCAGAGAAGGGCAGGTTTAGGAAGAAAACTGGCAGGGAAAGGAAAAGCCCAACTCAGTCGCCCCTCATCTGGCATCTGGGCTCACACAAGACTGGTTTTTGAAATTGATAAGAGAATTCCTCACACCCACATGACCCTTCAATCATGGACTAGCCACTTGCCAATCATGGACTAGTCACTTGCCAAGAGGTAAGGAAACTGACTCTAAAGAAATTCTTTACTAAAGAAGTGGCTGTGCTAAGAAATTGGAACAATTGTGAAGAGAGACCTCGGGGGTAGGGGGGGGACAGATCATGGTTGGGGGGAAGTGTACTGGCAGTAAAATTCAGCTTGTTCTCAACATCTAACAACTTTAAGGGCTGTAGTATAGAAATGAAAGTAGAGTTCAGGGCTCTGAAATATGGAAGACAATTTCAGCAAGACACAAATAAAGGGGGGAGTATAAGATAAAGAGGAGACATGGGGCTTCAGACATCCTTAAACAAACTCAAGCACAGCTAGGAAAGACTGTCCCTCTGTATTAAGACAGGAAAGAAATGTGTGCAACAGAGAAAAGCAGCTGGGGAAACAAATATAAGTAAATAAACATAAAAAGTGATCCACAGAAACCTATGGAAAGTGAGCATTTCTTAAATGTAGTGATGAAAAAAAAAATCCTGTTCCTTGGTGGCATTTGGAAGGGATAGCTAATATTCACTTGCATTTTTTGGCACAAAGATGAAACTGGCACAAGGGACACCGACAGAGGGTGGCACTGGGAACTAAAGCTCTTGTCTCAGAAAACAGCAACTACTGCTGAGAAAGAAGACAGGACAAGTGGGCAGTTATGGTGAGCCTGGGGGCAAGGCCTGGAGGGCTGCCTGCCAGCATCTCCGTACTTGATAGTGCTGTCTTTGTCCTTGCACTGCTGCTCCAGCTTGAGAATTCTCTGCTTCAACCCATTAATAACCTGCCAACAGAACACTGAGTCAAGTTTGTGGTTCCCATGTCCCAGCCTCCCCTCCCTTGAGAGACTCAACTGTCCTGTCCCCAGGCCATGATGGGGTCCCCTTTGGAATGCAGTCATTCTGTCCCCCCTAGGTGATCGCTGGCTTTGCCTTTAGACAAAGAGTGCAGCACAGAGAAGGGCACCCAGGTCTCCTGGCTCATGGTGTGCACTGGCAAGTTGAAGGGCAGAGGTGGGGATGCCCTGGCAGCAGGTATATGGCAACTGGGCACAGCAAAAATGAGGGTTTCCTCTGAACACAGTCCACACTTGGGCGACTGGCAGGATGCTGCACTGATTTCTGCTAGGGAAGTCCACACAATCTCTAGATACCTATGTTCCCTGCCCTAACCATGCCTAACAACTCAGTCTGGGGGGTGAGCCGAAGTGAAGGGCCAGAGCAGGGGCAGACAACTTGCAGCAGTCTACACCTCCTTCTGGGGGGACCAATGTGTGCATATTCACCTCATTTCTTTCTTCTCTGTTAATATGTCATTTGGGGAGAGAATACTTCTTTATACTCCTAATAAAACAAGATCCCTTTCTCAACAGCCAAACAATTTTTTTAACTGGATTTTAAATTTTAAATATTAGTAATGTGTGAATACATCTTATTGTAAAAAATTTAAGACATTATACATGAAACTAGACCCCTTGACCCTGCCCCTCCCAACTAAACATCCTTATAAGCCAAATGTGCATTCTCTATGCTTGCACGTGTGGGTAGTTGCCACTGAGGGGATGGAACCCACCATCGCTGCCCCCAACCCATATCCCACACTTTATTTTTTCTTCACTCCACAAACCTTTTTGGTGATCCTCCTGCTAGTTCCCTATGTTGAAGTTCTTTTCAGTAGTAAGAACACACATGGTATATTCACCCATTCGGCTATTGATATTTACATTGTAATCAGTTTCTGCCATTACCAACAGTCCTGCAGTACAAATCCTGGACTAGTCTTCCTTCCACAAGGGTAGGTGATGACAAGCAGACAAGTTCAGTCTGGGATATGGCCACTTTGAAGGACGACTTGGCAATGGGCATTAGGGTGAAAACTGCACCCTATAATCTGGAATTTCTATTTTCAACCAACTTTAATTTAAAAAACACAGTATCAGAACAAAATAAACTAAGAACCCCTTCTTTAAAATGAATCCATTATATACAGAATCTTACACCTTCACCCAAATTAATCATATAGACATTTGTTCAACAGGTTGAACACAGGTGCACTGCTATATTCCTTTTAAAATTTTTTTCTGAAGATTTTTTGATGGGACAGTATTCCAATTTGAATACCTTCTCCTCAATCCTCTACATCCCCACACCACTGGTCAGCTATTAATACATCTGTAAATGGTTTATAGATATATGTGTAATATATGTGTAAATGGTTTTTGTATTGGAGTTTTTCTTCAGGCACAGTTCTAAGAAGAGTTTAGACTAACGTTAAGCACAGTTTTACAGACTCGCCTTTGCAGGCACGAGGTCTCAGTTCTGAGCAGCCGTGTTTCCACAGTCCTGCCAAAACAGGAGCTGACGGTTGGTGTTTATTTTGCTTTTAGGTGTCAGGCTGTACCTACCCGCTTGAGTGTTTACTGTTGGTGAAACAATGAGAACCCAGCCTCCCAGAGCATTTGTCTTTCACTAGGAACCCAATTTGGGCAAATATTTTAGCCTCAGTTTCCTGATTTTAAAAATGGGGATTGAAGTCCCTATTTCAAAGGATCAAAGGCTAAGGCGCACATGTGCACCCTGTCCAAGCAGAGATGCTGAGGAGTTGCTGTCACCTCAAAGCGTTTTCTTATGGAAACACTAATTCCTTCTCAAACACTCTGGTGGTTATTTGGTAGAGCCCAAGCACAGAACCAGGCTCTGTGAGTCTGTTCAGAGCAAACTGATGATATTCTTTAAAGATCTGGATAGATTCTTCATCTGTTCTAGACAGACAATTCTGTTGTACTGATCAATACTATCCTCTCCCCTCCCCCTTCACACTGACCCAGTTTCCATCATTGACTATGGACTTTAATTAAAAATTTTAAACTTATCAAACCCTCTATCACATCATTGTTGTTATTTTAGTCTGTGTGTTCAATTGTCTCCCTTCCAGTTTTCTTTTCACCTATCCCATTTAAAAAAAATCCTTCCTTGATTCATAAGAGATGTATTGTGATCCATTTTGCTCTGAAAGCTAAGGATTACTGCCATAGCATTAATCAAATAAAAGCTCCATTTTTCATCATTTGTTTCATTCACTTTGCATAACATTCACTTTGTTTTAGCTTTGCTTCTCTGTGTTAAGTCTCATTTGTTCAGCACGAGGTTTTTAGGTATGAGGGGGACGTTCTCCATGGTGACTACTTTCCCTAATTCTGTTTGTGGTGCAGAAGTTCAGCTCCCTCTCACTGCCCCTAGTCCCCTGCAGCAGAGCCCCTGTGGTTCTGTGGAAAGTGGATTCAGGAAGTTCTGAGCTTCGCCCCATCTCTCGTACTTCTCTGTGAGAATGCTTTAGAGAAAAGGCTCCTCTCCACGGCCACAGAAAGACTTTGGGGGAAGGTTTCTGTCCTGCTGGAGACTATACTCACCCAGCCAGTGTCAGGCCTTTTCTCTGCCAGAGTCCGAACAAAATCCGGGCCCTGTGGTAAGCAGATTGAGAAATGAAGACAACATGTGGTTTCTACTTTCCCCCTTAGTCTGAGGAGTGGAAACCTGTGGCTCCCACTCCACAGTCAGGGCAGGACCACCGCAGGGCCAGGACTTACTCGGGATGGATCCAACAGCTGTTCTATCTGCCGATCCTTTCTGTTATTTTCCTCTTCTAAGCGCCGGAGTTTTGTTCTCATCAGATCCACATCACTTTTCTGCGTGTGTAATGACTGAAGAAAAAAAGGCCCATGCACACGTACCCATGCACACACACGATGTGTACACAAACATCCCATGAAACAGTGAACTGGAGAAGAATTTCAAAGCTTCCTGGTTCCCCATAAGAGTGCTGTGTGTGGCTGATGGGAGGGATCTGGATGTCCAAGATAAGGGATCTGGCATTTTGTGGGTGGGAACTAAGGAAACAAAATGCTGCTGAGTACAGGACAGTCCACTGCAACTAAACAACTCCACTCAAAACACCAGTGGCGCCCCCAGGAGAACTGTTCTACAAACACTGAACAGCAATTCTGGTAGGCACCATGCCACCTCTGCCATGTCCATATGACAAAGCAACTAAGCCCGTTTTTGTCACACTGCATACCACTAAAACTCTTCCAAGGCCAATGTCCACTTAAAACTGCCATCCTACATTAAGGCTTAGTTGCTAGAGTTATGGTTCCCAAATGCTTATCTGAAGATCAATTTTTCACCAGTATGTGGTGAACTGAGAAGAAAAATACTATATTGTCAGTTTCTCATAAAGCAATTTCTCACTGTTTCATTTTTGTAACAATTGTGTATTTTGAAATGACCCCCCATCCCTTCCTACTATTATGGACTTATATAGTCCTTCTATGAAATGATGATGGTAAGGTATATTTAATTTTTGTTTTCAACGTCCTCATTTGAAAAAGGTTTCTCCTAGTCTATGAAAGCCCTTAGCCTGAGCTGCAGGATGCCAAGAGGGCTCACAAGCTCTGGCCAGCTATGTCATAGCTTACTGCTCCCAGCATGCGACCTGCAGCCAATCTGGTCCATTACTTTGTTAATACCCTTCTCCTTTCAAGGAACTCCCAGGGCTCAAGAGAGGCTGACTGAAGAAAGTCAACCACCATAGCTGAAAAGAACACCCAGTGTGCATATCCCACCAAGGTTGGCCTGGTACGTCTGCCACATGGCCACAGTGGGCAAGACTCTCAGTTCTGCTGTAGGGCATGAGACAGAATGGGTACTTGATGAGTGTTGAATGAATAAATTAGTTAGTACACAGTCACTGGGAAAGATGAAATTCTGCTCCCAGAATATGTAACAGACTCACTTTTTCCTAATCGTCCCGCAAAATAGGGCTAAAAACCTTTACCATCATAAATAAAGCAATCATAAGAAGACTCAGAAAGGTGGGAAGGAGGAGGCATGGAAGGACATGCGGAGGGTGCTTTCAGTTTTCTTTTTTCTACCTGTATCCTCGACAGGGTGCCCAAGAAACCAATACTTGGACAAGCCAATGCACACAGACAGGAAAGCCCCAAGAAAAGCCAGCTGAAAGACCAGGAAAAGGGAAGCCTCACAAGGCAGAAAATGTACAGATAATACCTGTTTCTAAAAAAAAAAAAAAAAAAAAACAGCAGCCCCACCCCACCAGCATAGGTTGAGTGGTGACCCTGCACTTCTACACGTGCTGGGCTGTGACAAGGTGCACGGCGTCCTCACTGGGTGAGGGTGTCAGAGGAGTCCGTGGTGATGAGGATGGACACACACACACACACACACACACGCACATGTGCGGGAAAGACTTAAATCCTAACACATCAATAAAGGTAAATGTTCTGGCCTGACGCTGTGCTGTAGCTATGTCTGATGTAACACTGGGGGAGGCTGGGGGAGGATGCAAGGGACTGCTTGGTACTGTCTTTGCAGTTTCTTGGGAGTCTGTAATTATTTCAAATCATGTTTTTTACTAGTGGTCTACAAGTGTTACTCTATTAGTTTGTCAGACACAGCACTAAAGCATGTTGTGGGTGATTTTATTATTGACTCCTGATAACCCTATGAAACATGCTCTTATCATCCCCATTTTCAATAGGAAACTGAGACATCACTTGCCACAGAAAAACTCCCACATTCAGGAGCCAGAGCAATAGAGTATCGAAAATAATATTCTTTCTGAATTTAAGAACTTAAGCTGATTTTACCTGGAAACCCACAATGGTAAGTTTGAATAAAGTCCACATAATTCTACCCAGGACCCAAGATTTTTAGTCCCAAGAAGATTGTTTCCAATGGTGTTAATGCTGTGATTACTCAGAGTTTCAGGGTCTCTCAGAGTTCATTTAGTACAGTCTCCCAAACAAAGTAAGAATCCTCTACTATATCTCTGATAATTGTATCAGAGATTATATCCAACATTTGCTTAAAATTTCTAAGGACAAAGTGCACATCAGTTCATCAGGGAACACTCTCACTGTAGACAGCTCCTGGGGATGAGTGTTCTTTTGACTCTACCTAAATTCTCTCTGGATTGACTGGGACACAGAAGCCTATACCAGTGCTCCTCGGGAGAGACAGCTGCCACTCCTCACCATACTCTAGGCACACTGGCTGCCAGCTCCCTGCTCAGCCTCTAGTGTCCACTGATCACAGCCTCCAGCATTTGGCATTGAGGATAGTAGGTCTATAGACCAAGGTTAGAGCAGGGACTGAATCCTGGTCATTTCTCCTGCAGCACAAGGGTTATCAAAGACTGCTGTGATAATAGTGGTGATGATGATGGTGTTGATGACAATTACTTCTTTCAATGTAATTTACTTTAGGGAATGTTAGACAACATGAGTTAGAATAAGAGTCTTGGCCCTGGAAGGCATTGATCTTGATGGAAATCATGGTTCTGTTACTGGTTAACCTTGAAAGACTACTGACTTCTCTGAGTATGAAGGTCATCACCAGGTAACAGTTGTCAACGGGCCCTGCCTACCTCACAGAGCTCCGGTAGAGATCAAATGCGACAGGGCAAATGAAAAGTCTTGCTGACACTAAAGAATTACACAATGGGAGGTTATTGATAATTACAACACCAAATGACCTTATCATAATCAGTGCACAAAGGGACTCTCTGAAATTAATCCACTTCTTCCGCAGTATGGTGAGATGAAAAACAGGATTCTAAACTTGTGAGGCCTCTTAAACAGCTGGTGCAAGGCCTGTCTTTAACCAGGTCACCCAGCTCACAGGTGTCACTCTAAAGCTCATGTTCTCACGTTCTTTCCATACAGATACCTCACAGCACAGGTAATGACTTGTTAGTGCATTGTTAGAGAAGGCTTTCATCGGTTAACATCAACAAAGATCAGACAGAAACACTACCTTCTTCAATTCAATGATCTCGTCATACATGTCTTCTTTCTCTCTGTAGACAGGGGTCCCAGGGACATGACCTGGAGGAAGATACACAACTCTTAGAAGATTATTGGAAAAATACAAAAAATGCTTGGCCATGCCTAAACCTGGAAGTTAATAAACTTATCCCTTTAAAAAAGGAGAATAAAAAAGAGCAAAAATATTTGAATATTTTTAGGCTGATGATACCTTCCCTCAAAAGTAAGGAAAACAAAAATAGCAGTGCTATAGAAAGATGAAGCAAAATATAACTAAAGGATGTGAACCCAGAACTTAAGTATAATATAAGGATTAAAGATGGGAGTCAAAAAAGGAGAAGCGATATGTTTAAATTTTAAGTAGCAAACAAAACAACCAAAGGCAAATGATGTTCAGAGCAGATGACAATAGCCACCCAAAGCAGCAAAGCATACTCTGATTTCAACATGATGTCTCACATATAAATATTTAAGCATAAAATAGAACTCCCAGCCATAAATGCAGTGAGGCAATCAGCTCATGGGGTACAGAGGTTTCACCCCCTCCCTGTGGGAGTCAACAGGAAAAGTGATGATAGCTTGGGTAGGAAAACAGAAAGCAAATAGATTCTTTTTGTTAAGAGGTGGGCTTTTTATTATTATTTGCAATGTTTCTTTCTGTTTCTAATATTGTCTATACAATATATTTAAATAAGACCAAAGCCTGCTAGATGTCACTGTTCAAGCTTTCCAGCAGGTCAGTCTGAACTTTTTAGGACTTCTCAGGACACTCTCCAACCTCCTACTGGGAGAGATAATATAGGCAGCTCCAAATCTCACTTTGTCAAAGGACACTCAAAATCCCAAGTTTTTCCTTCTCATGGGCTTGTCACCATCAACGTGCTCACCATTGCTGGCAGAACGCCTGAGATTTGACCTCTTCATTCTTAAAGCTTCTGTCAGATAGTCAGGAGTGCAGCTGGGGGGGTTGGTCCATGCATGCTCCAAGGTGAGGTCTGACTTCAGGGGTTGGGTCAGACTTCCTGGTTCGAATGTGCATGGTTTTAATGACAGGTACAAGCAAATACAATGGGAAGTTTTGCCTTTAATAATCAACCTTCTCAGGTTGAAGAAAGTTCAAGTCAACAAGTATTGATAGATACTGGCAATCAGTGGTGTGCGGAGAAATGCTTAACAACCAGCTCTCAAATAATAACGTCCTGATTTTTAGCATTTGCCCATTTCAAATGATCAGGGATGGTACAAATGCCCCCACCAAGTCCTATTTCAAGCTGCCAGTGTCATATTGCCCAGCACACAAAATTCCTAAAAACTGAACAATTGACTCTTGTAAGCTTGTAAGAGCTGGCTCCAACACACCACTGCCAGCAGCACTGAGACAACATAAGACTCGCAAGGAGCAAGTGTCAGACATGCAAACCTACAGAAATCAAACTCAGATAATACATAAAAGCTGCGAGACTCAACATCTTTAGTAAGATGACATTCAAACAAGCCATACTCAAAACTCTAGCTTAAAGCACCACCCTTAATTTCTAAAACTTCTCTTGAGCAGGAAGGGTCTCTAGTGGAGCAACCACATACCTTGCTTTGAGTTTCCCAGCCACAGCTTCTGTGGGGTTAAGGACATTCGATTACTGAGAGGCATAGTCGCTGCTGTCCTCAGAGATCTCCAGGATGCCACTTTTCTTGGCTTAGTGTAATAAGGTGACTCTAAAAAAGTCAATGTATGATTTTAGAGCTTCAAAATACCAATGCCCCCTTAACATATGTATTTCAAAAGACAAAAATGATAAAAGATAATATTCACAAGGGTATAATGACTCTAGATAAATCATTCTGACAAAACTTTAAAATGTGGTTTTATATATATATACTTACATTGATTCTTTAAATTTTATTACAAAGAAATAACATAATGGGAATTTTATTTTAAAATATAAATAAAATCCTACCAATATTACAATAGTTAACTGTCAATTTTTCAGGTACATGTATTTTTTTTACATAGTCATAGTGAACATACAATTTTTTGTACTTTATATTTAACACTAAATATTTTTTCTAAGTTACTAATGATGTAATAACATATAGAACTTAACATTTAAAATATCTGAAGATACTTTAAAATTATTCTTTCCAGGGCATTTTTGATTTTGTTACCACAATATGGGAAAAGTCTTAAAATTGTTTTTTTCTGAGAGTTCATCTCTTTAATTACATAAAATATGATAAATGAAGACAAAAACTAAGTTATTCATAAAACAGGTTACATTCTTTGAATAGCAAAGTAATTAATATGCATAAAAGGTCCTGAAAATCCAAGTCTATTTCTAATAATTAATTTCCAAGTTTTTTTTTTTAAAAAGATTTAATTTATGCATACAATAGCCGGGGTGTAGGCCAGAGGTGTGGGGGGGGTGAGAGGATTCATCAGAGACAGAGTGGGAACAGAACAGGTGGAATGACTGAAATACATTGCTGAGGGGAGCAGCAGGTGAGACAGGAGAGGTCTGCTGCGCCATGTGGGTTAGCTCCCTGGCTGGGGATCGAACTTGTGCTACAGTGACTGTAGGTAGCTTCATAGTGCTGAGACTTAACATCCCTGCGCTGCCAGGGAGGCCCAATTTCCAAGTATTTTACATGGCTTCAAAATTTATGGAAAAATTTCTATCGTAACTTAGAATAAGAGAATAAAGACACATTAAACCTTGATACATTTTCTTATTTTTTAAAATTTTATTTATTTATTTTTTAAAGAGGCATGTATTTTTACTTATTTATTTGTTTGTTTTTTTTCTTTTTATTTGTTTGTTTATACATGCACTGGGCACAGTCAGAAGTGCGGGAGGGTGAGAGAATTCACCAGAGCCAGAGCGGGGAGCAGAGCAGGCAGAAGGACCGAAGTACACTGCTGAGGGGAGCAGCGGGCAGCAGGAGAGGTCTGCGCGCCATGGGGGACCCTCCTCCGGTGGCCGGGGAGCAGCCGGGGATCGAACCAGCGCTGCAGAGGCTGCGGGCAGCTTTGCAACCCAGCGCTCAGCCGCTGCGCCACCGGGGAGGCCCAAACCTTGATACATTTTCACCCACCTTCCAAGATATTCTGAAGGCCTCCCAATATTCTAGAAGTGCTCATTTATAAAAATAAATTAGTGATTAGAAAAAAAACAAAAATAACATTTCCCTCCTAACATGTGCTTTTTTTTTTTTTTTTTTTTTTTTAATGATGTGCTAGAATTTCTCTGGACAATGAAAGTTGTGAAGATGGAAACTTGAACAAAAGAGAAGTCTGTTAGTGATTGATTCTGCCTTTAAAATAATAAATGCTGAAAGAAAAGAGATATCACAGCGGTCCCACCTTCCCCAGGGAGCTGTGAGGACGAAAAGCCTCAGAACACTTTGGAAATGACAAAACTGATGAACCTTTGACTTAGCATTAAAGAAAAGCACATGTGAAGGCATGGGACAGACGCGGTCCCTGCACTCACAGCATATACATTCAGGCAGAAACACACGTGCCAACCAAGTGGCATGAAGGAGGAGACCAGAGCGAGAGGCAGGCTGTATCTGAGGAGTTAGGCCTGAAGTGTGAAGGCGGAGTGTGAGGCATTAGCTACAACACCCCCACATCTGTAATACTTTGGGGCTTGGAGAAATCAAGATAAAAGTGATTTGATTATTACTATCTTCAACACTTGAAATGCTTGACTTTCATCAAGAATAATGAAAGCTGCTCCAATATTTACCTCTGGTAACTTCTAGACAAAAAAGGACTTAAACAAAATGGTTCTAAAATAAGTTTTAAAACACAAACACTCCTGATACCAATTCTCAGTTTTCTTCACTGAAGGAGAGGAAGGACATCAAACATCCATATTGCTGGAAGAATTCTATCTAGTGTTTATGTATATTTGTAATATGTAACACACTTTCTTTGCAGGAACTTATCCAGGCTTTTCTTGGGCTAATATCAAAGCTCATTTGCATTCTGTGTATATGTCATAAATAACAAAACATGTTTAAAATACATGTATCTAAAATACATATATACACACAAATACAATAAATTCAGGGAGGGTGACAGGTTTTTGGGTAGCAAAAGGAAGCTAGTCTAGGATTTAAAGTTTGTCATCAAGACACTTTTCTTGATTCATAAAATGAAAATATGATTCACTGTATTCTAGAGCAATGTTTGAAATACAGAGACAGAGGCCTGGGTGGCCAGCCAGACTAGCCCTGTTTGTCATGGATGAATGTCTGAGGTCCCTCCCTCCCAGCTTATATGTTGAAACCTAACTCCCAGGGCGTTAGGAGGTGGGAAGCAGTCCTCACAATGGGATTAATGCTCTTATAAAAGGGAAGACAGAGAACACCCTCATCTCTTCCACCATGAGACAGGTGTAACCTAGACATCTGTAACCTAGAAGAGGGCCCACAGAACCATGCTGCCCCTGAGCCTGGATTTTCAGTCACTGGGCCTATGAGAAATGTCTACTGCTCAGAAGAAGCACAGTCTCTGGAACAGCAGTGCAGACTGAGAAAGTTCCATCCTCACAACATCCTCTAACAGATGACTGCCTCCCTGACCACTGCCAAGGAAGAGGCCTCCCTGGACAGAGTTGCCCTCCTCCTGTAGAAGATGGGGAATGGAAGAATCTTGCCAGCAAAAGCAGCCCAGGGCCACCACAAATGGGAAAAACTAACTTTCACCCTGGTCCTGGAATATCTACACTTTCTCAGTACAGTGCCCAGATGAACTGCTTTCAGCCATAAGGAACAAATCCTGAGGTTAAAGATGCAAAAGACCAAGAGGCACGGTGTTGTGTCCTATGGAAAGCTTGGTAGAAAGATGATCGCTCAGGGGCCGCAGGCCCCAGTGAGGCCACCTCCCAATGGGAATACGGGGGAAGTGACCCCAGGAGCATGTGCTCCCAAGATCCCAATGCCAAATGGAGCTAACTGGTATGGGTGTTGTGTCTCAATAGCCCTAACTGTTCAAAAACAAAAACATTCTAGATCTTTCTCTTAGGACACCAGGGAAGGACTGTTTCTAAAAGCCATTTTCTGAGTTAAACTGTGGAAATTTGAGGGCCTGGTCATACTTACTTGGTGATGTGGGAGGAGGTTTGTGGAAACTTTTCCTTTTTGCTTTCTGAAAGAATGAAGAAAGCATGTGAATAAAGCATGTTGCACCTTCTTGAGCAGCCACAACAGTCCCAATTGTGAAGCACAGGCATGTTCAGAAGGGATTGGGGTGGTGTAAGAGCAATGAGAGAGGATGCTGGAATGTCTGGAGCAAAACTAGCAACACATGAGGTCCCCCTGGACATGTGATGGACAGCACGCTCGATTGAGCTGGGGCTCGCTGGCTCTCCTAGTGCAACCTGATCATGAAAGATGGAGGATATATGGTGAGTCTAAATCCACTGTGTGGATACCACGCAAAGGCATATCTCTGAACACCCAGTGTCCTCATGGTTCACCAGGCCAGGTACACCAAGATGCAACCCCTATGAATAAGTCAAATGCAAATCCCACTGAGGAAAGCCTGCAGAACAGCACAAGCAGGACACAGTCAGCTTGCATCCCCACCTCTTTCACACAGGACAGAGGGCCTCTTACTTCCCTTCCATCAGACACAGTGATACTATGACTATGTTGTCTGAACTCTACCTGGGATTTGGTTTGTTTTCCTACTTCTCTAGGGAGCACCTCAGGCCCAGAGTCTTAGTGGTGTTGAGGGAAGATTCTTGATTCTTTGAGGTCCCTCACCTCAGACAATGATGTTCTCCCTTGAGTTCACAGCGTTGAATTGGAATCGAGACCGTTCTACCAGATTCCCTCAGAGCTATGTGTTTGGCTAGAATTCCCTATGCCAGGAGATACATGAAGCTACCTCTGCTCTTTTTACTGCAAGTATAGTCAGCAGCTCTGTCTTCTACCTGTTTCTTCCATCTGGTCCAGGGATGAGGCCATCAGTCCAGACAGTGCTCAGTCCCAGAGCCACAGCTGCCAAGTCACTTTTGACAATGTTGCCATCCCCTTATGTGTCAGGACTGGGGGTTGGGGGTGTGGGGAGTATAGGCCCATACTCGATACAAGATAAGAATTTGCAATCTCCTTATACCCTGCTCAGGTACACAGTTTTAAAATGATAATCACATTTACTTAAATCCCACTAAGGGTTTGAAACTTTTCCAATATGAGTAGTGTTTAGAATTTGCATTCCAGCTGTAATATAACATGTTTGGGGACTGACCAGCTGTGCAACTATGAGGGTCATGTGTGAAGGCCAGATAAGCTGCTGGCCCCCATCATACTCACCGTCTCAAAGTCAGAGTCAAAGGTAATAGCAGATAGACTGTCATCTCCCTAGAAGAAGAGATGAAAACACTGAAACTTTAAGGTACCTACTTGGCTTCCAATAGTCACACTTAGAAAGTGAAGATGGCCCATTCACAGCAGCTAAAGCAGAAGCCCAGAGTGGGGGACTCAGGACATCAGAGCAGACAGCAGCAAGTCTGCTTGGGTCATCTTCGGAAGGGAGGGGGGGGACATTAGATATAGAGTTGGATCCATATCTGTTGCTATATTTAGCAACAATGTATCCACAGAATCATGTGTACTTTGGATAAAGAAACAATTCTTCACAAGCCTTTCACTTTTCACTGTTTAAATGTTCCCTTAATCATCTTCCCATCAAAGCACAAGGAACCCATGGCTGTATTCCACGGCGGTTCTGGCTCAGCACTATGGTCAGCTTCCACTTGTGGCACAGGAGCTCCCTGGCAGACAGGAAGTGCTCTGTAAAGGCCCACCAGCAGGTCCAGGGGCAGCTCTATTCCATGGGACTTGGGGAGCTGGGGAGACCAGAGGTTTAAAACAGATCCAAACTCAGCAGGAAAGCCACAAATAAGCCTGTGTTCACTTTCAAAAGACTGAGACTTGAGACCAAGACACTGGGATTTATTTTTTTTGGGGGGGTCCTCAGATCCTGTCATGTACAAGGTGCTTAACAGATGCTTATATGGGCAAGAGCATTTATAGCAGCATCATTTCTAATAGCAGAAAATAAAAATAATAAAAGCAGGGAGATGGATGAATAAAATATGGGTGCCCTCCTTGGGTTCAAGGTTTTATAATCATGTTCTTAAAAAATATGTGGATAAATGAAATGGTAACAAGTTATAAAAAACAAACAACAAACAAAATGGTAAAAGTTACAAAACAATGTAAATACGATCTCAACTGAAAAACAAAATATAAGGAAAAAAGATGCTTGGAAAAAAGATTGGAAGAAAATGTACCAAACATTAATTGTAGTTTTCTGCTTGTGGCTAGATTTTGGATAATTAATGTTCCAAATGTTCTCTAATGAACATGAATTATTTTTATAGTCACAATGCATGAAGTTACTTTTGAAAGTTGAAGGAGCAGTAACAGATGTCAGTGTAGTGAAGCCCCAAAGCTGTCAGGCCTTTCAGAGACAGGACTCGGTGCCTTCAGGAACAAGTAGGACATTTCAGTGCTCCAAGAGGTTCACAGCACTGAACTCCTACTCCAGGTGAGCTCTGTACAGCCCACATATACAATGGTCTCCATGAGTTTGTGAGAAGGAAGTTCTCTCTCTCTGACACCCTCCAAAGCCTACCCACTATTCCCTGAATAAAAATCAATCTCTTTCCAGGGTCCGCAAGGTTCTCCGGAATCAGGCCCATGCCCACTCTTCTACTTCCACTCAGGCCATGCTCCCCTGGCTTCCATACCCGCCCACCCCATAGGAATCCCAGCAAGCTTTGACAGCACAGCCATTTCCACTCCTGGACCTTAGTACCAGGCGTCCCTCTGCTCTTAGATTAGAATCAGACTGCCTCCTCCTTACAAGTGTGAACTCCACAGGATGGTTAGTCCTGGCATCCAATCCACAGCAGCCCTCCTCCCTAACCCATCTCTCTCATATGGCATGTTTTATTTTCTGCACAGATTCTATCACTTTCAGATCTTAATGATCTGTTTATTGCCTTGTCCTGCCCCTTTGGGAATGCAACTTATTCACGCTGATACCTCCAGCCAAGAGGACCTTTCCAAAATGGCTTGGTAAAGAGGCACGTTTCCCTTCGCTCTAGGGAGTAAACCTGGGCAGCACATCCTCCAGGAAGTCCTCTCCCATCAGTGATGGCAAGGCCTACTCCCAGAGCCCAGGGCTTCCACCCACAGCCCGGGGATGGTTCCAACAATTCCCTCGGTTGTCACAAAACAGAACTCGAGGACACCCCTAGCCCTTAAGGCATAGGGTGGTGGGCACTTACGCAGGGAGCTCCGTCACGGGGCGGCCGTGCCGCAGGCTCGGCACCTGCCCAGCCCCTCAGGCGCCGGGCGACGAGGACGCGGAGTCCGGGAAGGCTTCCTGGAAGGGGGGTCCGTGCAAGGGCAAGCAGGATCCCGAGGCTGCTGGAGGCCGGGCGAGGGACGCAGAGGCCCCGCCAGCAGCACGCGGGTGGGGACGGGAGGTCCGCTCTTATGCGGTAACAATAATGGCAGCTGTCACCGGCGGCCGCGGGCCGTGCGCCTCCTTCCTCCGGCCCGCGGCGGGCCCCGCAGGCGGCGGGCAACGGGCAGGGGAAAGGAGGCCCGGCCCCTCCCCGCGACCCCCCGCTCCACTTACCGTCTCCGAGGCCCGCTCCGCGGTGTCCAGCGACATGGCGGCGGCGGTGCCCGGCCGCACCTCGGAGTTACGGGCGCGCTGGTCCGGCTTTGAGGCTCCACTTGCTCCCCGCAGCCAGCAGCCTCTCGGCCCTCCCGCGCGCCGGGCCGCGACCCCGCTGCCATAGCAACCGCGCGGCGGCGCGCCGAGTCCCGGATGTGGCCGGCGCCCGGCAAGCCCGGCGGCTGCGCGCGTGCGCAGAGACACCGCCGGGCCTGCAGGCAGGGCGCCGGGAGTCGTGAGCCCAGCGCCGGGCGGGGCCGGAGCCCGCTGGTTTCACAGTGCACTGCGTTTTACAGTGTAGGGAGCTCGGCTTGTTTTTTTTTTTTTTTTTTACTCGTGGATGGTACACAACAGGCTTGTGCGCTAGTCACCGAGCAGGAAATTGATAACCTTGAAAGGACCGAGGGCTTCTGTGCTGTCACAAGCTCCTGACATTCAGAAAACTGTCTTCCTTGACCTCATCTCCTTCGCTGGGGTTCTCATGTAGCCACAGGGCAAGAAACAAATGAGAGGCTGTGCTGGGCTTAGCATGTATCATGACAATCTTGGGTGGCACTTCAAAAAATAGAAGCTTTCAATTTAAATTACAGCCAAGTGTTGCTAAAGACGAGAAAACATTCTGGAAAATGCCCTATTAGTTCATTTCCTCCTTGTACAAAAGTTATAGAGGGTGCTTATACAAATCTAGATGGTACAGCCTATTACACACCTAGGCTGTTAAGGTATAACTTGTTGGGACCACTGATGGGAACATTAAGTCATGCATGACTGTATTCTTGGGAAGTATGATTTGCTCTTTCTCTTCATATAGGCCAGCATCTCGCCTTGTTTTATTTTCCAGCCCTCTGACATTTATTATCTACAAGAATATTCCATATCCAGAATGTAAGCCTTCTGGGGCCAGGCTCTGCCGTGTTCACGGCTGTATCTCAATGCCTTGGAGAGGGTCTGACACATGCCAGATACTCAGTCAATGAGTATGTGATATGCTGGAGTTGAGTAGCTTCTCCGTTTCTTCAGGATCATATGAAGTAGAGAAAAGGATTGCCGTGAGGATCAAATGAGTCGGTATCTGTAAATTTGCTTGAAATAGTGGCCCTGTTCCAAAGCAGATGCAATGTGAGTGTTATTGCTTTCTGGTGAGGAACAAATGGATGCTCCCACTAGGGTAGCCTAGTGTAGTAGAAGGAATGCTGGGGCAAGTGATGAGTGTTCTAGTTCTGGCCCCACCACCTTCCACAGATCCACAAACCTCTTTTCCTCGATTTTCTCATCTGTACAACAAAGTGAGTGACCCATATCATGGGTAGAGATTGTCCCTCCACAAGCAAGGAAGACTAAGCCTGGTAGTGCTCAGGAGTCAGAGTCTTGAACAACCTGTTTCCTTGATACAGAAAGAAGACAGTTTCAGGGCTTTTGTTAGCATCAAAGGAAATAACAAAAATCAAATTTACCTCAGTGCCTGGCACTTGGTAACTCCTCAAGAAACAGAACCTATCAAGTAACACTTTGCTGCTACTTTGATTACTTGAATGGTATTTGAAATAGTGAAATAGTATTTGTTTGAAAATGATCTACTTTACTCACTGGAGTTCCTTCTCTGCCTTGCTTCCTGAGTGCTGTCGGGTAGAGGATTTACCATATGTTCTGGTTCCTAATTTAGACTTCTCTGATGCAAGGGAATTCAGTGGGTTATAAAGATAACTTGACATATAGTGAGATGGGCATTTTATGATATGCGATACTTAGAAACTTCTGTACGCTGCTCATCTAGGGTTACTTGAAACGACCACTTAGTTATTTGGGGATTTCAATGATAGAGGTTGAGGATCAGAGAAGTGATTGTCCAAAGTGGTTCCCCCATAAAAAGCACTATTTTTTAAGTTTCCGGTTCAATTTAATACCCAGGGGAAATCCACTACTTCCTCGTGTATCCCCTAAAATCTTGAAAAAACCCGTAATCTCAGGCTCATTCAACGGAGCGCCCTAGAGAGTCAGGCATGTGCCAGACCCTCTCCAAGGCATTGAGACAGAGCCGAGAACACGGCAGAGCCCGGCCCCAGAAGGCTTACATTCTGGATATGGAATATTCTCATAGATAATAAATGTCAGAGAGCTGGAAAATAAAGCAAGGTGCGATGCTGGTGGAAGCCTTTGGAACAGGGCCACTATTTCAATCAAATTTACAGATACTGACTCATTTGAGCCTCACATACTCAATGACTCCTTTTGCTGGCACGTGCAGCCCTCCCAGCTCCCCCCCTCCCTTGGCCGGGGAAACCACGCCCTTCCGGAATAGTCCCCGCCCCTTCCGCCGGGAGCCCCGCCCCCAGGCGCCATGCTCCCGGACGCCTGGGCAGGTACCACTGAGGTAATGGGGTGGTGGCCTGGGGCGACCGGGTTAGCCGCTGCCTGTCCCCACCCTCTCTCAGTTTGAGCTCATCCTTAATGTCTGCGGACTCTAAGTTCTCCGTGACCTCCAGGGGAGCGTTCACCGTACCCCGCACCCACCGTCTCGTCCTCGGTTCCCTGCAGACCCAGAAGGTGGCGCGGTCCGGGGCGGGACCTGAGGCGGCAGGGGCTGGGCCTCCACAGCCTACGGAACCCTGCCAGTGTGGCGCGCGCCGTGGGAGGGAGTCGCGGTCATAGGTCCTGACGAGTCGGGGCGTGGGGTGAGGGGCCGGCGGCCAGGGGAGCAGCCGGGGAGCGGCGTGAAACCCTTCTGGACGTTCTGGTGACCCGGGCGCACAGAGCCACCTGACTCGGAACCGCAGGGAGCGCTCCTTCCACGGGGCCCTAAGCTCGCCGGGGTTGGACTGACGGTCAGTCGGCTGGGACAGTCAACTCCAGCCCAAGGGGCCGACCTCCCCATGATAGAGTCACTGACTGCCCTTATTACCCTTAACGCCTGCGAGGCCATCCTGACTGCAGGGCACCGCATCCCCTGCTGGACCCTGCACGCAGATGCACACCCACGCCGAGGAGGGACTGGCACTGGACAGAGAACCTGGACCTCTGGGCACACTGCTGACACGCACACACGCACACACCGATCCCGGGAGGGGCAGACACTTCTGTGTGACTGAGGCTTTCCTACCCCTGTATTTGTGGCTGACTCCAGGATGCACGCACCCCCCCTTCCCCTCCCCCCCCCCACACATTGTGGCCCAGCTGGTAGCCTAGGTGAGCTTCTTAGTGTTCCTCTCCAGCAATGTCCAAAGTTAGCATTCTTTGAGCTCCTAAGGCCTCTGGTTTACACCAAACTCTTCCAGCCCTATGGCCTGGACTCACAGCTCCAACCAGGTTGAGGCTTTGTGTCCATTTGGGCGGCTGGAAGCTTCCCTCTAAGGATCAGGTTCTTCACCCTTGGCCTGAGATGAAAGTTCTGGTACTTGAGTGGGCCTGGGGCCACCCTGTTACTAGGACCCGCATTGTGGTCTGGCCTTGACATTTTATTTGCAGGGTCCCCTGGCGTCACCATGGATCCAGAGTGCTCCAGGTTACTCCCACCCCTCTGTGCCCTTCTGGCTGACCCCAGGCAGCCAGTGGCAGATGACACCTGTTTGGAAAAGCTGCTGGATTGGTTTAAAACGGTAACTGAAGCAGGTAAGCACGAGTGTGCTGTTGTTGACTTTCCCCAGAAACCAAGGGTAATATGCAGAGTATGGGACAAGGTGCAGGAGGCTTCCTTTCACGACCCAAAGACTCCCTTGACTAATTGGGACACATCAAGCTCAAACCTGGGGAGTGACCAGGAGAACTCAAGCTGGAAGTCCTTAGCTGACTCAGCTGTGATTCAGACCTCCTGCCCAGTTCATGCTGGGTGGCTGCGGAGGATAAGGACACATATTTTGTTGTTCTCATTGCATTATTTTGTTTGTTTTAAGAAATCAGTTTTTTTTTTCTTTCTGTTTATGACTTGAACAATACAAAGGAGCAAAGAGGAAAATTAAGCCATCATTAACAATTTCACTCCCAGCCTTTTTCTCTAACACATTATTTTCTTATAAAAATCATTTTGCACTGTAAATGCCATTTGGTGTCACGCTTTTACTCACTTACCATTATAGTGGGTGTTTTCCCCATGAAACACATGGATTTTATTGACTTTATGTCATTTACCGTGTGAGTGGATCATAATGTATACAGTCACTCCACTATTGTTAGATGCTTGTGTTTGTAAAGTTTGTGATTGTAAATAATGCCATAGTGGCATTCCTTGCACATAAATCTCATCTAACTGTGCTCTTGACTGATAATTACTTTAGGGTAGAGTCCATGTCATTAATTTCTGCTACTTGTTATTTTCCTTGGTTTATCTTGTTTCTGTTAGTCTTCAAGATGAATAATAGGTTTTTCTTGTTTCCTAATATTTGCATTCAAGGCTACAATTTTTCTGAAAGTATAACTTCAGCTGTATCCTGCAAGTTTCATTATGTACTGCTTTCATTATAATTTAGTTCCAGAGGGCCTCCCCGGTGGCGCAGTGGTTGAGCGCTGGCTTGCGAAGCTGCCCACAGCCTCTGCAGCGCCGGTTTGATTCCTGGCTGCTCCCTGGCCACCAGAGGAGGGTCCCACATGGCGCGCGGACCTCTCCTGCCGCCAGTTGCTCCCCTCAGCAGTGTACTTTGGTCCTTCTGCCTGTTCTGCTCCCCGCTCTGGCTCTGGTGAATTCTCTCACCCTCCCGCTCTTCTGACTGTACCCAGTGCTTGTATAAATAAATAAATAAATCTTAAAAAAAAAATAATAATTTGGTTCCAGATACTGTAGCTTTTCAGTGTTATTTTTCTTCACTAATAAATTATTTAAAAGAGCATCCTTTAGATTAAAATTTTTTTTCATTCTTTTTATTATTGGTTTCTAATTTATTTCATGGAGTTAAGAAATACCTATATTTTGATACTTTTGAAAAAATATTCATCCAGATTTAGTAGATGAGACTTTTTTTAAAAAAGATTTTTATTTATTTATTTTTAAATATTTTTGTATAGAAGAACTGGGGTTTAGGTCAGAGGTATGTCGGGGGAGTGTATGTGTGTGTGAGGATTCACCAGAGACATTGGGGAGCAGAACTGGAAAATCTACTGAAATACCCTGCTAAGGGGAACAGCAGGCGAAACAGGAGAGGTCCCTGGCTGAACTCAGGCCACAGTGGTGGGCCTTCGTGGTGGTAGGACTGAGACTTAATCTCTAGGCCACCAGGGAGGTCCCTGTTGAGGCCTTTGTTGTGGAATAGTACACAGGCAAATTTTGCATATGCTCTGTAGATTTCCCTGTATGGTGCTATGTTGGGTGTTTGTAAGATCCTCATGTAGGGTCCTCAACCTACAGTTTGTAGTAAAATTTTTTCAATTCTTTCTAAACAGTTTATTTGAGATATAATTTATGTACTACGCAATTGATCAATTTAACATGTACAATTCAGTGACATTTTAAATTGACTGGGTTGTACAGCCATGACCACAATCTAATTTGCAACAGTTTCATCCCTCTTCCCCCAAGGAAACCTGGTACCCACTAGCAGTCACTGCCTACTTACTTTACTACTTATACCTTAGTTCATGTTATTTAATCCTGCTTTTCTTGCCTATTTGTTTGCTTAATTGTTTCTGAGAGCTGTGTAAAAATCCCATACTTTTTTTTTTTGAAATTCTGCCCTTTTTGTTTTGTTTACTTTCAGGTGGGTTAGGTATGTGCATTATATCTTCCTGGGCTTTGTCTCCTTGGACAGTGGTTTTCTTTCAAAAGCACCATAATGAGCTTTGCTTTAAAGTTGGCTCTGTTACTCTTGCTGTCCCACCATTTAAAATTAGAGTTTGCTCACCCTGCCTTTTTTTATTTCTTTTTTCCTCAGCTTTCTGTGTTGTCACTCTTCATTTCTTCTTGTAAACAGTAGATTGGAAGTCTTTGGGTCTTATTTTCATCTAAGAGCTCTTTTGTATTTTTCATTTGTTGAGATTACTTTTCTGTTTGAAACTGTTTTCACTATATATATTTTTAACATTTTCCATGCCTTGTCTTTGTCTTTGTTTACTTTCCACCCCTCCATTTGATTGCTAGAGCTTTTGTTTTGTTCATTTTTCTTCTGGTTTTTGAAGTCATGCATTCCATTTATGTTCATTAGTGGTTAACCAACCTGGATTTTAAACGTCAAAAGTTAGAATTGTCTATCCTCTGTTCATCTCTAAATAAAGTCCTTAGAGCACATTACCTCCACATACTTTTAACATAGTACAATTGTCTGTGTAATGTTAATCTTATTTAGTAGACAGGAGAGGCCTGCTATTGCTATGCCATGTGGGTTGCCCCCTGGCTGGCCTGGGATCGAACTTGTGATGCAGTGGCTGGTGACAGCCCGACAGTGCCGTCTTTAACCCCTGTGCCACCAGGGAGGTCCCCAGAAGTTTTTTAATTGGTAAAGTCAGTCCTGTTTTAAATTTAAATTTATTGGTCTCTTTGCTTCTTCTCTCTTCTTTACTCATTTTCTTTCTTATTGATAGTTTTAGTAGTTCTTTTAGCAAGGGCTTGTCCCAGCTTTGCCTCAAAATGTCTTTCTTCCTTGTGAGTGCGCTTTTGAACAACAGTGTAGTTAGGTGTAGAAATTTTGGATGCCAGGTCTGGAAACGAATACCCATCCATTATATTTCTTTGCATCCAGTTCTCTCAGTTTAAGATAAAAAGATCCATTTGAGAAGTAAAAGTAGAAGTTTGCGTTTCTTTTTCATAATCAACTAGACAGTATGTATTTTTCAGATTTGATGGCCATTCATATTTCCTGTCTATGTCCTTTCCCCATTGTTGAGGTTGCTTTCTGGTTTGTCCCCCCTAATTGAATTGAAGTTATGAACCCTTTGCTGCAAACAGTTCCTCCCAGTGAGACTGCTAAATCTCACTGCTTGAGAGCAGAGTGACCTGGGAGTTGCTGGAAGAACCATCCCTTAGGGGGACATGTAGTGCTCTGCCCAAGTGACATGCTTCCCCACTGGGCCATCTCCAGGGTCCAGTCTTTTGTTATTACAGGAGAATCCTTGCCTGGTAGAGCTGCTATTCCATATGCTGAAACCCCTGGACCTTCACTCCAGAGTCCTCTCCTTCTCACTCCGCCTCACAGGAGTATTTGCAGCCCAGGAAGACTGCTTCCAGTATCTTCAGGTGAGCCTGGTCCCTGCCCCCTCAGCGACCCACCAAGAGGTGCACCCTCCCATTGTGAACTAGCTATGACTTTGGTGGGGTTTAGGGAAGGCCCTTTAGGTCATAGCAGATTCCACAGAGGGCCTCCCCTGTGAGCTAAAGGCAGCAACCACCTCTTAGAGCCTCTGGGTCACTGTAGAGTTAGACTCTTCATCCTTGAGTAATTGAAAGTATGTCTTTGTGATCCCATGGTCCTTTATTCTGGAGTCCAAGGTGAGTAGAGGGTTTCATCCCTTGAAGGTGGGGCTGTAGCTGAACAGGATACCCAATGGCTTGGACTAGGCAAGGCTCTGACCTCCATTGTTAGAGTCAAGACAAGTAAAACTCAGAGTGAATAACTACACCCATGAGGGTCTGTTAATAATAGGCAGCACCAGGTTCTCTACTGAAATCTAGTGGCCAACACAAATCTTATGTGTGTGGTAAGAAATATGAGAAATGTATAATGGTACTGTGAAATTCATAAACTGTCGGGGACTGAGGAGCAATCATCTCCATGTTGTGGGCTTGGAGCTGGGTTGTAGAGTTTGGACAGGTGAGGACAGATAGGATAGGACCTCCCCTGAAGGAGGGTACGTACCCTGGAAGACTCCACATGCTAAGCTTTGGAGTTGAGCAGGCTATAGAGAGGTTGGGGTCCTTGAACTGCTGTCATTGGCAGAGGTAGGCCTTGGAGGTAAAGTGATAGTAATGTTGGGAGAATTCCTGAAGTGAACTGTAACAGGGTTATGAACCTTCATTTAAAACCCAACTCTTCCCCTGGAGTACTGCCACTGGGAGGCAGAATGAGCAGCCATGACTGCCACTGACCTGCAGTGGTCTACCTGCCACCTCCCAAGCACACCTGCTCACGGGCACGTTGTAGCAGCAGCTTGTGAGAAAGTTCCCCAGAGAAGTGCCTCTGCCAGCCCTGAGTAACAGGAAAGTCATCTGTGCTGCTTGTCTCTGGGAACATGCCCAGGTAATCACTTCCTTCTCTGCTTCCCAGCAGGGGGAGTTGCTGCCTGGCCTCTTTGGAGAGGCAGGCCCCCTGGGCCAAGCAGCCTGGACTGCCCCTGGTGTGCGCAGTGGCTGGATCCAGGGCCTGCGCTCCCTGGCCCAGCACCCCAGTGCCCTACACTTCCTGGCCAACTGTGGTGAGTGTCTGTCTGCTTTCATCTCTGGCCTTGTCGTGCTCACTGCTGTGTGACCCCAGGGAAATCACTATACCTTGCTGGGCCTCCTCTCATCTGTGGAAGTGACTGATAATCATAAGGCTGTTGTGAGGAATACATGCATCACACCAGGAAGGGCAAACGCCTCTTGAGGGTCACACCTGTGACTTGTATGGCAGCCAAGTCAGGCCACTGGGAGGCTTTGAAACTAATCAGAAAGACTCCAAACCTCCATGGTTTCAAGCAGGAGGAGATGGTGCCAGGGGCCTTGGAAAGCCTTTTTTCTTTTCTTTTTTTTTTAAAGATTGATTTATTTATACAAGCACCAGGTACAGTCAGAAGTGCGGGAGGGTGAGAGAATTCACCAGAGCCAGAGCGGGGAGCAGAACAGGCAGAAGGACCAAAGTACACTGCTGAGGGGAGCAGCGGGCGGCAGGAGAGGTCTGCACGCCATGTGGGACCCTCACCCAGCGGCCGGGAATCAAACCTGTGCCGCAGAGGCCGCGGGCAGCCTTGCAACCCAGTGCTCAACTGCTGTGCCACCGGGGAGGCCCAGAAAGCCTTTTTTCTGACTCCTCAACTCTGAGCCTGGGGGAGGGCGGGAATGGGGCTTCCTGAATGTGCTATTTTTAAGTCTTTTCCTGAGTCTGGTGACAAGTCCCTCAGTGATGTAGTCTCTGGTGGCTACATCAGACTGTTCATCTGACCCCTGTCTTCTCCACCCCTCATCCCCTCCCCAAGGTGCTGTTGATACCATCTTCTCCCTTCAGGGAGACCCCAGCCTGTTTGTGGCCTCGGCAGCCAGCCAGCTCCTGGTGCACATCCTTGCTCTGTCAATGCGCAGCCTACCTGGGGAGCATCCTAGCCCACAGACTGCCGACTGGCCGCCGTGTGCCCAGAAGATCGTGGGTCACATTGAAGAGTCCTTGCGCTCGATGGTTCCTCCAAGGATCACACAGGCCCTGAACGTCCTGACTACCACTTTTGGGCACTGCCACAGTCCATGGGCCGAAGTCCTTTGGGTGCAGCTGAGTCCCCTTGTGACCTGTCTGCTTGAGAAAGACCCTGTCCCGGCCGCACACTCGCTGGTGGACCTTCTCCTCAGCGTGGCCCGGTCAGGTCCCGGGGGCACAACTGGGGGCACATGGGAGTGGGAGTGCAACTGGGAACAGTCCAAACCCAGAGGGGTTCTGAAAGCCCACAGACTTAGGAAAGACCCTCTGTCTTAGCTGGGTACACCAGCCTCAGGCCTTGTAGCCCCACTGGGCACCCTAGGGACTTTGGTGTGGGGTAGAGGGATAATGTTCTCTTTCTGTGTCTCCTGCAGTTCTCCTGTATTGAGTTCATCAGACTGTGGCCTGTGGGAGATACTGGCACAGACACTGAGCCACCTGAACCCTACACATGCAGGGCCTCTGGCTTTGGGGATCCTGAAACTGCAGGACTGGTAAGGATTGGGGTTTATTTTGTGCAAGTGCAGGTAAAACGGTCTCCAGTATGGCCATCATAAGCAGGGAACTTCCCAAGAACCTTCTGAGACCAGAGAACAGTCAGAGGCAGTGCAGACATGTCATCAAGACAGTGCTATAGGCTATGGCTTCTGTTCTCTCTTTAGTGACATACTTTATTCTACTTAATTCTCTGGCTCCCCAGAGAAAAAGCAACTCTTGGAGATGCTCTACTCAGAGTGGGTTTGGTCAAACCCAGGACCCCTTACTCTGCTGCTCTCTATCCCCCTCCTTAGCAACCGTAGCTTGTGGATTTTGGGCCATCACCCTGTGCACACACCAGGGTGGGTGTTAGGGGCCATTCGGTATGGGTGGGGGAGGGGCTGGTGAACAGGGGCACTCTGGACAGCTTCCTGGAAGGGAGGGAGGAAGAATGAGGAAAGCCTTTCAGGGTTCTAGGTGGTCATGTTGGCCCAGATTAAGGGTGAAAGTTGCCCCAGGACCCACTTTGCAGAGGGACTAGGAATGCAATGTAGGCCCTCTCTGGGCTCCAGGCTCTCCCAGTGTTCAGAGAGAGGGAGCAGTCCAAAGGGAAAATGATGGGTGAGTGGCTAGCCTGGAAGGACAGCTCTGTGCTGGCATCGTCTCCTACCCAATCCCAGCCCATGCACTTGGGACAGGTGCTTCCAGAACGTTGAAAAGGATAGCTCAACTGAACCAGAGATGAATCACTAGAATGCCCCTGGAAGGAGGGGACCTCAGTCCCTATGGCCACTGCCCATTGGGTTGGGTATGGCTAGGCCTTCATTCTTTGGGGCTTGGGGAGATGCTTTCTAGCAGCTCCCAAGGAGTCTACACCAGTAGTCCACATATTGCAGGGAAGTTGTTTGTCCAGAGGGTGTCCAGATCCCCAGTACCAGGCCCTTTGCTCCAGACTTGCTAGGGCCATTAGTGGGGCAACCAGCATGCCTCAATACTGGGGTGTGCTCACTGTGTCCTCTGTCTCCAGCCAACAGGCACTGAGGGCCCAGGCCTTTGGTGTTCTCCTCCAGCCCCTCGCCTGTATCCTGAAAGCCACAACTCAGGCTCCTGGGCTCCCAGGTATACTATTTTGGAAGTCTGGGCAGGTGTGGGAGGGCGGAACCCTGGGTCTGGACATGTCCCTGGCTTGGGATAAGCTGATGGATAGCAGAGTAACAGGCTTGTCCCCAAATAAGAGTGAAGATGACCAGGGCATTATCCCAGGTGTGACTTTGCCCTTTATGTCTCTACCCCAGAGTTAATGGGGCTGTGCCATCACTGGTGGGCATCATCTGGACTGGCCCCAGAACAACGGCTTTTCACCCCCATCGCAGACTCTGGTAGTTGGTGCTTCCTGACCCAGGACAGACACGTGATCTGGCACTGGTGCTAGAAAGCCCTACAGATAGGTTTAGAGCCTGTCTCTGGCCAGTCTGATGTCACCCTGCTCCAGCCACCCATTCTGAGCCTCAGAGTCCTCCCGTCAGAATCCTGGTCTCTGTCATGGGGTGCTGGCATGGGGGTGGGAAGACCTATTGTAGCCATATAGAAAATGCCCGCTCACTGGGAGTTGTTTCTGGTTTGGCCTCTAGCTTTGCTGGATGGGACTGAGGGTGACTCAGTGACAATGGATGTGCTTCTGTCCTCCAAGTCAGCCTATGTGGGTCTCCTGTGCCGGACTCTGGCCCACCTGGAGTTGCTGCAGCCACTGGTAGGTGTGGCCCTGGCTGCTCATGTTAGCTCAGACCATGGGTAAAGTGGCTCCAGGACCAACTCCTTAGTGGGGCTAGGTATTGACTCAAGCCTAGCTCTGGGGGCTCCTGATGTTTAGATAGAGGGAGTGATTGAAAGGGAGAGTGAAGCATGGGGCAGCAGCCTGGAAGGAGACCTTTGAGCCTACACTGAACAACCCTTCTTCCCCAGCCTCAGTGTCCTTTGCCGTGGCCCCAGGCGCCTCTCCTTGGAGCGGTGGTGACAGTATTGAGGTTCTGCAATGGCTCAGCAGCCCCCACCTCTGATGTGGGGGGCCGCCTCTGTGCCATCCTGGTGGGCTGTGTCCGGGTCCAGCGAGCAGCCCTGGACTTCCTGGGGACTCTGTCTCAGGGAACAGGTGAGCGAGAACATTTCTCTTGCACAACTTGGGTGTCATGCCTGTGCCTTCTGCTAGAGCCACGCGGGACTGATGTCTTGCATTCATCCCTGGGGCGGTGGGACTCCGAGTCAGCGCCATCTGTCCGCTGCTCTCTTTGGATTAACATGCTTCCTCCTGTGCTGGGGAGGTCAAGGGTGAGGGACTGGTGTTCCTCATTCATCTGCATCTCTCACAGGCCCACCAGAGTTGGTGACACAGGTGTTTGCCATTCTCCTGGAATATCTCCAGAGCCCTGACTCCAGCCCCACGGTACAGGCATGGGTGCAAGGGGGAAGGGAGAGGAGAAGGGGAGCAGAAATGGGGAACCCTTGCAGGCCCTAGGTGGGGCCTGAGCTGTTTTGTGAAGTGCTTGCTAGGGCCCAGAGTCAGTGAAGATGGAATACTAGGTTGTACTGGGTTGTGGAAGCAGGAAATTATCAACTGGAGCCAGAAGGCTCCTGTGCTTTGGGCCCAAACTCTTAACATCTGCAAAACACCCCTGTCCTTGTTCCCCACCATCAGGCTTTGGTGGATGCAGCATTGATGCTCATACTGCCAAGTAGACGGTGGGAAATTTGGGTGACAGGCTTGGTGAAAAAGCTGCCCCAGATAGTTTCTTGTGTCTCAGTATAGAAATCTCATTTTCCTAGTTTGGGTGTCCTCACGAGGCTACCCCCTCCTCCCTGAGTTTGGGATGCCAGTTTTTCCAACTCCAGATGCTTGTGCCTCATAAGGTCAAAGTCACTGTTCCTTTCCCTGTACCCTGTCCCCATGCTGTGCCCCAGGGCAGGGGCAGGGGACACAGGAGAAGTGACAGGGGCTGATGGGAGCTGATCAGGGCAGGTTGTCCAGCTTGCCCCTCCCTCATGGCTCTCAGCTCTGCTCTGCCTATTTCAGGTTCTGAAAAAGACCTTCCAGGCCACAATGGGGTGGCTCCTGAGCTCACCCATGACCCCCAGCAGTTGTGATCTAGACTTTCCTATCCAGCTGTTCCTCAAAGGTAACCCTGGCTGTTCCTGGGGTAAACTTTGGGAGTCACAAGGGTGGAGGCACCTGGAGGCTGGATGGGAGGACCTGGGCCTCACTGAGTAGCCCCTCCTGCCCCAGAACTGCTCCCTGTGCTGCAGAAGCGCCTGTGCAGCCCCTGCTGGGAGGTGAGAGACTCGAGCCTGGAGTTCTTGACCCAGATAACCAGACACTGGGGAGGTAAGTAAGGACATGGGGGGTGGCCTGGCAGTTTGGCCAGGCCTTAGCACACTGGTCACTTCCTGTTGGCTTTGGGAACTGGGAATACCGTGGTAACCCTCAGGGGAACATGAGGGGAGGCTGCGGGCTCAGCCCTTGGTCACAGCTGGTTGTGGCCACTTGATCCCCAGGGCAGGCTGACTTCAGACGCGTGCTTCTTGCCTCAGAAGTGCCCAAACTTGCCAACCAGCTCCTGAGAGACCCTGAAAGCTACGTCCGCGCAAGTGCAGTGACCACCATGGGGCAGCTCTCTAGTTGGGGGCTGTACACCACCCCCACCAGCTCTGAGCACCCATGGGGCCAGGAGGTAGGAGGCAACACATAACTGTGTGTGACGGATACCTGGGGTGGAGTGGGTCTGCTGTTGTGAATGGTGCAAGGCCAGGCCTCTGCCATGTGCTTCCCCTGTGTTCTTTTGCTCAGCCTCCCAGCACCCCTGTCACCCCCTCACTTGGATGTGGTCAACCCTATTTCACAGATCTGCAAATAGAAGGCTAAGCAGTAATGAAGCCAACTTAGCCTGCTCCTTGCTGTACAGGGTTATCTCTGCAGTACTGTGTCTCGGCGTAAGACCCTCCTAGTTCCCTCTCATCCCTGTGCTCTGTCTTCTAGACAGGACTGCTCATGGAGCTTCTGCACATCCTCTCTGCTGACTCAGAGGGCTTCCCTCGCCGGGCTGCCATGCAGGTCTTCACTGAGTGGCTGAGGGATGGCCATGCTGATGTGGTCACTGACTTGGAGCAGTTTGTGACCAGAGTGCTCCAGGTGGCAAGCCAAGACCTGGATTGGGAAGTCCGGGCCCAGGGCCTGGAGCTGGCACTGGTGTTCCTGGTGCAGATCCTGGGCCAGCCTGGTGCTCATTGTCCCTACACTGCAACCCTTCCCAAGGTGGCCCCACCTGGCCCACAGATCCAGGCCCTACAGTCTCTCTGCCGAGTGCGGCTGTTTGAGTTTGCCTTTCGTGCATTGTTTGACTGTGACCGACCCGTGGCCCAGAAGTCCTGTGACCTCCTCCTTTTCCTGAGGGCCAAGACTGCTCCCTGTGATAACCCACAGGAGGTGGGGAGCAACCCTGACACGGCTGCTGTGGAGGCTGCTCTGCAGAGATGGCAGGCAGGTGAGCAGGGCCAGTCCCTGGGGGACCTGGAGCCTAAGGCTGTGCTTGCTGTGCTGAGATCTCTGGACCTGGAGGGCCTTAGGGGGGCACTGGCAGAGAGCAGTGACCACGTGGAGAAGAGTCCTCAGTCACTGCTGCAGGACATGCTGGCCACCGCAGGCATCTTGGGGGAGAATGAGGCTGACTGCTACTGAGGTGACCTGGGGGCTACTTCCCACCCAGCCTACCCCACTGCACCATATCCCTGCCTTAGGCCCCAGTTATCCTGAGAGCTCCAGCCGGCCTGGCTGCACAGGGAATCCTCCAGGAAAACTGGGACTAGGAAAGACCAGAGAGATCAAAGAGTTCCACATTGTGATGTATTTTTAAAGTCATGGTTTATTTTCTACTCAAAATAAATGGTCTTTGACAGTGCCACTGAGTCAGCACTGTGTTTTGGAAGTGCTCACCTATAGATCCCAGGTCTAGTGGAGCTTAGAGAAGTGTCTGAGGAAGGATTCTTCTGCAGGGCAGGCTTGTGTTTTGTGGACATGAAGGGTGTGGGGTCTCTACTTGGACTCCACTGTGCCCCAGGAATGCCCACAAGTCAGAGAGCAAGCAGCAGACTGGAAAGTGTCTGGCCTTGGACTCTGGCCCCTCGCAATTGTGGTCCCAGGTACAACCAAGACCAGGGAGTTCCAACCTCTGAATCTCCAGGATCACCCTGAGCAGTTCAAAGTCTCCCCTCACACTGACCAGGCAGGATGAGGAGGACTTGAGATCAGGCCAGGCCCTGGGAAGCAAAATGTACACCACCCCAACCCTCCCACTTCCAGGCCCTGTGACCTTGGTACACTGCTTCCTCTTAGAACTTGTTTGCTCATCTGCAAATGGGGATTTTGCCATTTGCTTTCCAGAGGTAATGTTCTAGAGTTCTAAAGAAGAAACCTCAAGAGAATTTAAAAATATTTTTAACTATGTGGACATGGAACAAAATTTGTGTGATAGAGCAGAAGCAGAGCTTAGTAGCAAATTTGGAGCATTGAATTCATATATTAGAAAAAAAGAAACATTTGCACTTTAGAAATCTAGAAAAAGAAGAACAAATTAGATTCTAATCTTCGGCCTTAGGAAGCTAGGAAATTGAAAAAAGAACAAATTTAATTCAAAGTAAGCAGAAAAGGACAATAAACAATGAACTTAAGACCAGGAAAATCAATGGAGAAAATCAAGTAAATCAAAAGCTGGTTCTTTGAAAAGAACAATAAAATTGGTAATCCTGTACGCAGGCTAAGAAAAAAAGGGGACTCAAATAGTTTCTATCAAACAAAAGATGGGGCATCACTACAGATCCCAGACATTAAAAGTATAATAAAGGAAAACTGAATAACTTATACTGGCACATTTGATAACCTGGTGAAATGGACCACTTCCTTGAAAGACAGTCTGCCAAAACTTGCACTAGAAGAGACAGACTATTTGAATAGACTTATCCCTATTAAATTGAATCAGTGATAATAATCTTACAAAAGTGAATTCTATGAAACATCCAAGGAAGAAATGATTCCTATTCTCCACAGTCTCTTCCAGAAGATAGAAGCAAAGGGAGTAATTCCTTACTCATTCTATGAGCCCTACATTTCCCTAATAAAACCAGACATTCCAAAAAAAACTACAGAACAATCTCTTTCATGAATATAGATGCAAAGATCTTCAACAAAATAGCAAATTGAATCTGACAATATTTGAAAAGGATCATAGACCAAGATCAAGTGGGAATTATCCCAGGTGTGCAAGTCTTTTTTTTTTTTTTTTAAAGATTTTTATTTATGTAAGCACTGGGATACAGGCCAGAGGTGCAGGAGGGTGAGAGAATCCATCAGAGACAGAGCAGAGGGCAGAACATGCAGAAGGACCGAAATACACTGCTGAGGGGAGCAGTGGCGAGACAGGAGAGGTCTTTTGCGCCACGTGGGAATCTGTGGCTGGCTGGGAATTGAACTGGTGCTGCGGAGGCTGTGGACAGCTTCACAGCAGTTCTCTCAACCCGCTGCACCACCGGGGCGGCCCCTGCAAGTCTGATTTAACATTTGAAAATCAAGGTAGTGCATCATATCAACAGGATAAAGAAGAAAAATCACTTGATCATATCAATAAATGCAGAAAAAGCATTTGACCAAACCTATCGGTATCCCCAGTTTTCAGGTTAGGCTGAGATGTGAAAGCCCATAGCCTCTGGAAAACCTGTGTCCTTTCCCCACATCAGAGAAACTTCTGGTCTTTTCCTATTCTGCCTGCTTCCCCTAAGTGATTTCACCCTGCCTCCATACACCATCCTCACATTCCACTTACCCAGACTTCTATCTGAGCCCAGGGGCTGTACATTCACTTCCACCTGGCTAGCTGCACTGCATTAAGACAGGACTGTATATGTGACATCATGACACATGACATATGACTTTACCCACTGTCTCTCATTCCTGCAACCACTTCTTAATGGGGCTCATTCCATCATTCTTCCCTCCTACCAGTTGGTTTCCCTTTGGCCAAAGTGATCTATCTGGTCATTGTCACTTCCCTGCTTACAACTATCCACGCTTCCAGTCTGGCACACAACTCTTGAGGCCAGGCTCCTGTCAGCCTCTTCAGCAACTGTCTCTTGCAAAGACGCCAACATGAGACTGTCACCCGGTGTGGGTAGATTTAAGGTCTATAGTGGGGCTCATGAACCTGTGTTTTTAAAAAAATACTTATGCATCCAAGAGCTGGGGTGCAGGCCAGAGGGGTGGGGGTCGGGGGGAATGGGTGAGAGGATTCACCAGAGACACAGTGGGGAGCAGAACAGGTGGACTGACTGGAATACACTGCTGAGGGGTGCAGTCGGCAAGAAGAGAGGTCTTCTGCGCCATGTGGGTCAGCTCCCTGGCTGGGGATTGAACTCATGCTGCAGTGGCTACTGATCACTTCATAGTGCTGACACTTAACCCTTGGTGCCACCAGGGAGGCGCCATACATTCTTTTAAATAATTTCTTTTTTTAAAAAATATTTATGCATACAAGAATTGGGGTACAGGCCAGAGGTGTGGGAGGTGAGAGGATTCACCAGAGACAGAGTGGGGAACAGAACAGGCAGACTGACTGAAATACACTGCTGAGGAGAACAGCGGTTGAGACAGGAGAGGTCTGCTGCGCCATGTGGGTTGCTCCCTGGCCAGGGGATCGAACTCATGCTGCAGTGGCTGTGGATTGCTTCTCAGGTTGTGTCTTAACCCTTGCACCACCAGGGAGGCCCTTAAATAATTTCTTTTTGGGGTACCTGTTTTGTGACGTGTATTTCTGGCATACAACGTTTGACACTGTCATAATCACCAAAGGTGTAGTGTTTGTCCACCACCAAATTGTCCCTCTTATTTCACCCACATTCAACTCCCTTCCATCTGCTAACTACCAGTCTTGAACCTGCATTTTTATCAAGCACCAATGGAAAGCCTGGTGATAAGGTATGTTTTGATGTGTCTTATGATGCCTTCACTGGTGTTCTTGGAGTGTTTACTTAGCATAGACTTAAGCTGGCAGTTGTTTTCTCAGCACACTGAGACTGTGCATTCTGTTACTTCATGGTTGCGGTCAAGAGTCCAGCTATCCACCTAACTGCTGTTCTCTGAAGGCCTGTGTGGCTGCTTTAAAGATTTTTTTTCACTGTTTAGGTTTTCTGCAGTTTTACTGTCATGTAGATGAAAATTTCTTTTTTGTTGGGAGTCACTGGAATGACTGAATCTGTGAATTGGTGTTTTTCATTCAGTTCTGGCAAAAACTATCTTTCAAAATATTTCCTTTGTTCCATAATATGTGTGTGTGTGTGTGTGTGTGTGTGTCCTCTTCCTCTGCTAGAACTCCAATAAAATTCTGAAATCTCACTTTTTCCTCCATCTTTGAATATTTCAGTGTTTTTTTTTTTTTTTAGAGGCATGTTTATTTATTTATTTATTTGTTTTGTTTAGACAAGCACTGGGTACAGTCAGAAGCGCGGGAGGGTGAGAGAATTCACCAGAGTCAGAGTGGGGAGCAGAACAGGCAGAAGGACCGAAGTACGCTGCTGAGGGGAGCAGCGGGCGGCAGGAGAGGTCTGCGCGCCATGTGGGACCCTCCTCTGGTGGCCGGGGAGCAGCCGGGGATCGAACCGGCGCCGCAGAGGCCGCGGGCAGCTTCTCAACCCAGCGCTCAACCGCTGCGCCACCGGGGAGGCCCTATTTCAGTGTTTTCTGTCTTTTGGTTTGTTACGTTCTATTTGTACTTGAAAAAATGTCAACTTATTTAGCTTTCTGTTCTGTGCCAATACTTTCAAGTCTGTCTTCTTTAAACTTAATAAGCTCAGTTTTATAGTCTCTGTCTATATTAGTTATGGTAACATTCAAACCTTAAAATTCTGTGACTTAAACTAATACAAGTTTGTTGCTCACAGAGCAGTGCATTGCGGATTTTTCTCTGTTAGGAGCTTCTTTCTGAATGTCAAATTGGGGGACCCTGACTCTTTGGTTCTTGTACTTTCTTGTCATCAACCCATGGCTCGTAAGGCTCCTCTAGGGTTTGCGTCCATCCCAGGAATCCAGAAATGGGAGAACATGGAAGCTCATATAAGACGTTTTTATGGGCAAGACCCGAACTCACACATTACTCCCTCCATTCCATGGCCCAGACTTCAGTGACATGGCCACGCCTAGCTGTAAAGGATATTGGGCAAAGTGTCGAGGCCATGTGTGCAGAGGATGAATGTGACCAGCCAGCTCACGTCTGCCCCAGTGCAGTGATTGCAGCATCTGAAGCCTGTGTGGATGGAGCGTTGTGTCTACTGTTCTTGGTCTCCTATGTGCTGATCACAGACTTGGAAAACTTAAGATGTGGGATTCCTGGAGGCCTAGGGTATAGGAACCTAGGGAGGAGTCCAGAGAATCCAAGTTCTCTGCCCAGGGGGTTTGCACAGAGGTCACTCATCTTGGCCTGAAGTCAGTGCAAGGGTAGTTCTGTGACTCCAACTTCTCAGGGTCTCTTTTTTAATTTTGATTTTGCTTCTCAGTGCTAAGTTAATATTTTCCTTTGGTTTCTGAGGTTTGGCGCAGGATGGAGGGGCAGATTTAATTCCGATTCATTCCTCCCCTAAGAGTATGACTTCATATCAGTTTAGAAGGGGGCGGGGGCCTTTTGTAATTGTCCCCACTTTGTGTAGGACTTCAGCCCTCTTCCCCTATGAAGCTCCCAAATAGATGACAAAATTTCTCAGGACACAAGAGCACTAATCAGTCAGAATGGACATCAGCGGCATGGCCAATAGAAGCCGCAGCTGAATGTCATGGTTGTTGCCAGGCAGATTTCTCTTCACGGAAAACAGGCTAGATTATCTGAGCCAACCATCTCACTGCAAAGAAATGCCGGGTAAGATATTTGAAAACCATCAGTTAAGGAACACTGAAGCACTCACTGACAAAATAGTGGAGAAATTCTAGCACTCGGGTACAAGCACCTCCCAGGGGGGCCTGATGGAGGCGAGAGGGGAAGCAGGGAGAGGCCCTGCCCATCAACTGTCCTGCCTGGCAGTAACTAAACAGTCCTCAGTGAATAGTGAACCCAAAATTGCACCAGTTATGACCTGACACATGCAGTTAGCTAGGAAAGGGACATGTTTCCCAACAGGTGTCCATGCAGAAAAGAACACAGAATGAAAAGCTCTGATGCAGCTGGTACCTTGGCCACACCCACCTGCTTCCAGCTCTTGGGCAGGTCACTGACTCCTCCCACCTGTAAGCTGGGACTCGTCCCTCAAGCCTCCATGCAGAAGGCAGAGACAGGCCTCACTGCCATGCATCTCCTTTCCTAGGTTCCACATGGGGCAGATGTATGGTAGGTAGGTCTGTACCCACCCCCCCGTATTACCTGGTCCTCAGGATCCAGGCGCAGCTGTTAGGGTACTCATTGACTACATGAGATTTGTACTTGCCGGCTGGGGTCCTAGAAAGAGGATGGATCAATCAGATACTTACTTAAAACAACAGCATTTTAGGACTTGTAAGGGGCCTGAAGGGTTGACCAGGCTGTACAGGGAGTGACCACCTAGGATGGGCCTTCAGTGTGGCCGTGGAAACAAGCCTGGGCTATGCCTCAAGCAATTTTGCAGTCCTAGTTACCAGTACAGGTCTGTTGAATGACTGAATAACTGGAGCTCTTGTAGCAGGCATCCAGAGGGATAGATAGTCTCAGAGATTCCTTCTCAGGGTGCAAGTCTAGGTTGGGGTAGGGGCTGTCTCCACTTAAGGGACTCCCACCCCTCACTCTATGCCTGCACAGGAGCACAAGGACAGAGACCTCAAGTCTCATCCCCTTCACAAAGACGGTCTTCCTTGCACTACTCTGTTCCTGTCAGAGCCAAGATGTGTCGCCATGGAAACTGCTTGGCAAACATGCTGGTAGGCAGAGGCGGCAACAGCAGCCCGGGCGCCTGTCGGAGTGAGGGTGGAGGGGACGGCATGAGTGGGCAGCCTGTGTGTGTGACTGTGGAGAGTGAGGGCTCGGGCAGCATGTGCAGTGGGCATGTGGCCTGGTGTGCAGTGTCACTGTTAGTCTGAGTGTGCATGTGTGGATGTACCTGTGTAGATGGAGGCAGATGTGTCCATGTGGGTGTGTGGACTGCCATGAGCGGGCAGGGGTGTGGGTGTGTGCTGGGGTGGGGATTCTGAGCACGCTGTGATGCGTGGCAGCACGCTCTCCTCAGCTGAGTGCTCGCTCCAGGCTGGGCGCTGGACTAGGTGCTGA